ATTTTTTTTAAATAGAAATGATTAATTGTTTTTACTTTTATCAGAATTTTTATGTTTTGTCAAGTCTAAAATGTCTAATTAAGTTTCTACACCAAATACTGTTAACTTGAGAAGTATTTTAACTTTATGATACTTTTATGGGTACATTTTTGGCTACACTACCCACCTTTGATGCTTTATGTCTTTTTTTATATGGCCAAATGTAGCGTGCTAATGTGTGAATTTGATCTACTGAACACTCAGTAACAGCAATACTGGCCTCCAAAAGGGCCATAAAACACTACAAGCTCTAGTGAGGCTTTGGCACATGAACTGCACAGCTGAAGCAATGTGGGTTAGAGTTACTGTAAAAATGTGTACAGTGAGAATATAGCATCAGTAAATAGTGGCCCTTTATGTAACAGAGAAAAATGGTTAATTGTGACATTGACAACTACTTTTGGCATTAAGCTATCGCAAACTAAATGTGTGTGGTATACCCTGCTTCTACTGTAGGTGTCGCTGTACAGTCTGAATGTACTTAAACACCGATACAAAAGTCACAAAGAGCAGTTTACATGTGGTGAATAATAAGTTTTAGCTACATTCATTATAGCTACCCTCAAAAACACGACCTAGCCATAGCTGTTTAGATGTTAGGTACACAGTGTGCTTTAAGCTTTAGGAGGCAATAAGAACTTTTCTATAAAAAATTGACAAAGTAAAGGGTTAAAAACTGAGCACTGAGTCTGAGGAGAAGGATCCAACTAAATTCACAGCAATTTTCCAACTTTCAACGACAAACACGAGCACATTTCAACTCAACAATCGCACACACGCCACTGCACGCCACCGGCACACTCCTCCATGTCTATAGAGTAACAATAAATGTAGGATTTCACAGAAATAATAATAAAATGTTAACAAAACAAAGTGCAAACACAGCTGCCATTATCCAAATGTGGCAATTTGTCAAAAACCTCAAAATACCTCAGAGGCTGTAGCACAAAACTTACAAAATTGTTTTTGTAGTGTGTAAAAAAACAACATCACCACCCAACAACATCGAAACATCAACTTGACAACATGTAGCTTGTGGTTAGAGTCAGTTCAGATTTCCACAGGAAAACTAGTTTTGCCGGGACCCTCGGATTCGCAGGGTCACACAGGTTTGGAGTAACCAAAGATCCCAACAGGGAAGTGCTTCACGTGTGTGGGCCACTGCGCCGCCAGCTGGAAAAACTTCACATCATTCCATTCCACGCCGTCAATAGTCACTGAAACACACACACACATTTATAGTTAGAATTATTATAAAACTAACTGCACAGAACAGCATTACTGATGCATGATTACCTGAATAACTGACAAATCTTATTAATCCACATTTAGTTAAGTATCTAATGTTGCTGCTGCTCTGGGGTAGACTGACAGAAGCGAGGCTGCTCGTCTGCACCATAGGTCCCTCCAACCACCACATTTGCACAAACCACAATCGTGCTAGGCAATGTGAGTAAAGAGTCCTGCCCTAGTACAGAACGTCCATTACCACTAGAGCTACTTCTGTCCTACTGTTTCACCTGCTATTCCCAGTCGTCTCCCAACCAAGTACTAACCAAGCCAGACCCTGCTTTGATTTATTTATTTTTTAAAATAAAAAGTGATGTGTTGAGAAGACATCTAGGTCAGATTCTTGCTGCACTCTGAGCATAACGCTCTTCAGTTTCTCAATGACAGTTTTCTAGGTCACATTACAAGGATACGTCTTCATTATGAACCAGCAGAGGGCAGTGTGGCTCCACGTACCTCTCAGCATGGTGTGCTGGTGCTTGGCCGTGCAGATCAGGCGGCTGATCCCATCTATCACTTGGCTCTTAGAGTCCAGCTCTTTCTCCTTGGGCTTCTTACTGAGGAAAATCACTGAAGGAGACAGGAAATAAAACATTAGTGAACAAAACTTTGATTTATTTTTTAAACCTTGAGCCTTGTTTTCCTAGGCAATAGCACATTGGTCTGTATTTGAATTCAATATGAATGATTTATGGAAAAAGTCCCATTGACATTTTAATGTGCATTGAAAACTAATATGATATGATAACAATGTACTGGTTGTTTTGTGCATTTGTTTTACATTTAGGTAAACCATGTAGCTTTCTGGTACCTGAATGATCCCATTAAATAAAAATTAAACTACTTTTCCATCGGAATAGATACATTTTATGCCATACTGTGAAATGTAATAGCCAACATTTCCATGGAGACAAGCATACGTGCAAAGCATTTAAGTGAGGTTACACCTATTCAAAGCCATTTTCTACTCCATATTGCATTAAACGCTCATTAACATGACTAATATAAAATCTATATTCTCCCTGAGCCACTTAACAGCTGTTAAACTTGATTTCTCCCTCATTTCCTGCACGTTGGTGTGATCTTACCCTTCTTGTTCTTCTCCTTGGTCACCACGGTCATGGCCATGCTGGGGGGCGGGGTCAGCTCTCCTCCGCAGGGCAGGCGGCTCACCTGCAGAGACCTGAAGTTACTCTTTAAGGTGTTTTTGAGTCCCACGTCACGCTTCTCTCCCTCCTTCTTCTTCTCGGGACCCTGCCACGTCCAGTAGTCCACCTGGAGACCCATCACCTCACTGCCCGAGCATGGAGAGCTGAGAGAGAGACACCAGAAAATTTAAATAAATACAGTATCAGAAATATTCAATACCCATACCCAAGTTAAGTGCTTTTGTATGTTGGAGGACATGCTACCTTTTGTCTGTATGCAGATGTTATTGCTTTGCCTGGAGGTTCCACAGTATTTTTTTTTGTTTTAATGACATTTAATGACATATTGTAGGACTTTCCAATAACATTTCCATGGAGACACAGGCAGCAAACCCTCCATCACAAAAGTTCCAAGTTCTTTAAAGAGCTTGTGTATGTAATATGTCATGTCCAAGGATGTCGAGCCGGTGTTTAACAGGTAAACCATAGTTGTTTATAAAGTGACATACCCAGCTCCAGACAGGGCAGTGGACACGGAGGGGGACTGAGGGGGGGTGCTGCCGATCTCCTTCCCATACGGACCGGCCGTGGGGGGAGTTGGGGAGGACAGGATGCTCGTGTTGCCGCCCATTGCGTCATCTGAATCCACTGTGAACACAAAGTGAAGGCAATTACACCTGCTACTGTACATAACAATGAGGACGGTTCAATGAAACATATTGTCAAAGTTAATGAATTCTGCTCTCCAAGGCTCCAATGAAGAAAGTACAAAGGTTTAATAAGAAGCTTCGGAGGATGGGACTTTAAAACCACATTCTTAGCTGTTTTGCACTTGATAGGTATTTTTTCACAAATTTCCCCACAGGAAATTTATCTTTTGTATTTAACCTATCCTTCACTGCAGCTGGAGCAACCTCTCAGGAGCAGTCTTCAGCGAGGAGGATAATGGACAAAAGTACCATGCTGGAAGATTAATCTATTGTTTTAATTAGTTTTATGTTGCCCCTTAAAAAAAAAAAAAAAAAACATAAAAAAAAAAAAAATTACAAATGTACTTTTACTTTCATTCATCCAGCATACATTGAAACTTAACCCCTCTTCAATTTCTTCAACTCAATCAATCCACTGGTTTGAGAGTGATGAAAAATTTGCACCAGTACCATAGAAATTAACAATTAAAAATCAAATATTCTACCTTTTAAATCCTCAAAATACACCGATAAACAGAAAGCTGAAATCTATGAACACTCCACCCCTACTCAGATCATGGAAACCTCCTCTAAACAACTCTTATCTGGCATTTAATTTGATAAACTAAAATATTATTACAAATTTGGGACTTCAGAGCGGCTTCAACATGATTACAAACTTCACAGCTGAATCAATCTGATTTTGCGGTTTTTAATTAATTTTCCAATTTAATCTTATTTCAAAATGACTGCGTGACACGATTACAGAATTAAAGGGCTTAATCATTTAAAAATCATTACATCAAAATAATACAGTAATAGCATGAAAATGTGTCCGCATTTGCTCACCTGACGTTGACAGGCTCTGCTCCACAATTCCTACTTTTACAACCTGCAAAACAAAATATATATATTACTTATACATTTTAGATCACATTTTCAAAAATTAACTGCGAGATTTCTTCTTACCCCAATAAATGGCACAAACTTCTGACAGGAGTCTTCATCCGGGCTGTGGACAGAAATCAGTTAAATTTTAAATGTTTTCATGAGATATACTTATTTAATTTTTAGTTTGAACATCTGAACAGTTCCATAGGTGCACACAGAGAGTAAACATGGCTTTGGTATGGGGCGTCACCATGTCCCAGTATGGCACATGACTGGCATGGTGACAATGGGGGCGTCTTTTGGGGAGTTCAAAATGAGATGAATGAGAGAACTGCTCCTTACAACCAAAACAATAGAAACAACAGCTACAGAGGATTGGTCAAACTTGTTAATGCGCCAAAAATGTACAGATCTGGAGTAATAATGGACAATTTACAGTTTCAGTTTACTGAAGCCTTAAAGAAACAACTTTCTAGAAGTGTCACCAGCATGATTCTGTGCAAATATCAGATTAAAACCGTACTTCGAAAGCTTCCCCGTGGAGATGGATACGTTTTATGCCAAAATATGGAAGATTATAGCTACAACATTTCCATGGCCAAGTAAGAGTCAGGTTTGTGGAGATGCAAGTCCACTCACAGAAAGGACCCATTTTTTCCTACATTTTTCAGCAGAATAAAACCATTAAAAAAGCTAAAACGTTGGGCTTTAATTATTTGTATTGTATTATTTCTATTAAAATGCAACCAGCAACCAATAAAATATTTTAAACATAAAAAAGACAAGTCGAGACTAGTCACAGCTACTCAAAACAAGATCAAATATTCGTACAGTGACTGAAGTAAATTTAACCAACGTCATTTTTCCCAGGGTATAAAGCAGAAAAGCAGACAACCAGCAAACCACAAATATATCTTTCTCTTTTCTTGTCTTGCATTCTCCCTCTAAGCTCTACTCCCAAGTCAAAAGCCAAGTGGTCCTTTGTAACTGTTTCATCATCACCGATCTGGGACCACCCACAGCAAACAGAAAGAAACCCAAACACTCCAGGCTCCGCCGCTCACAGAAAATCAATCTCACTTGTGTCACTGTGGAGATGTACAGAGGAAAGCAGTCCACTCCCACCAGCCTTTTATGTCTCCAGATATTACATATTGTTGGACTGGTATTTAGGCCCAGGAGCAAGTAGCTGTAGTATTAGTAGTAGTAGTAGCAGCAGCACTCCTGACAACACATACTTTTGATGATTTTGAAGTAGGATTGGGCATTGTACTTGTGTAACATTGTTTACAGTGTGGACACATGGTGAAAAAAGCAAGTTTAGATGTTGTACAAAAAAATTTACCACTAGAAAAGCACAAGCAAATTCATAATGTACAAATGGTTTATGAAGAATGACTCACGTTTAGTAAGTACTTACCGTAATGGGTAATGGTTAGAAGTTATGCTTATTCAGTAGTTACTAAGCCTGAATCATTCTTAATAAAATATTTGTTCATTATGACTTTGTTTGTGCTTTGCTGATTTAGTTATTATAAAGTGGTAAAATTTTTTCAACACCTAAACTATACTTTTTTGTTTGTTAATGCTTTATTAAGGCTAATTAAAGTGTAACTATTATAGACTTAAGCGTTATTAAAAAAACGTGTGCATTGTAAAGAAGCTAGAGTTTCTTCTTAAGCTCCCTAGGATTTTTAAATAAAATTCAAGTACATACACAATTATAGTTACATCCATGAATTTTTCACTGCTGATGCAAAGTTGTAAGAGCAGTGGATGCCCTAACTTTCCCCTCCCTAGATGATTCCACATTTCCAATATCAAGGAACTTATTACAGCAACCTCAATTGTGAAGGAGCAGCAACTCTACTCCAAGCTTCACAAAAAAGCAGAGACAATTTAATCTGTATTTGTGAAATTACACCTAGTAGTGACTCAAAATGTCTACAATCTGACGGTCCATTTAAAAAACTTTGTAGAAATTGTGACACTATGCATTTTACTCAATATTATTTAGTGGAAATTACCATACTGCTCCTAAAAATATGCAATAGAAGACAAGATGTATTATTTATGTTAATTTGTTATCATACTTTAATTTGTCCATTTATTGATTCATTTCTGTATCATCAAAAGAATCCTACTTCAAAAATCCTTCAATAAAACAAAACCAACAAATCTTCATTCTGTATTAGTCCCCTGGGGCTTCATGCTTTAATAATTATGAGACATTTCAAGGGTTGTTGTGAAAAATGTTAAGTATACAAACCACTGCAAGTCAAAAGTGAAAACATTCGGGATTGTTTGAAGGTTGTTAGGCAAAAAACTTCACAGCAACAACAAAACGGCAACACACAGAGAGGACAACGTAAAAACACAGCAAACCAAATACACGGTAGGACAGTGTGAAAAAGACGTGAAGTTACGGTGAGCTTTGAAAAGTGAGAAGGGAGATGTTAAGACAAGGAGCTCAAGCCAAACGTGGGAGAGAGTGTATAAGGAAAAACAACAGGAGATTAATTAGATACCTGATGTAAAAATCAAAATACAAACTTCTTTTCCTTGAAAGCAAATCACAGGGAAAGGGGGAAGAAGGAATGCAAAAGTGTTAAATGATGTGCTGCACTGACAACTTTTAGATCGGTTGCAAAATTTTATAGAAAACTGATGAACCTGCTTAATTTTGTGAGAGAAATTTACGTCAAAGCTAAAACTGTAACATTTGATCAAGATAAAAGGCATATATATTTTAATTTGGTTACTCAATCCCACAAAAATATTAATAATTATCAGAAAAAACTACCCATTACTGGTCAAAACTATTAAAAATCTGCTTTGAAAACAACTTTGTAGATGCCCGGTAAGTTTACTTTTTTACTGGAGGGACCTAAACTTTATTAAAGAGTGTGAATGTATGACTATGGACTGTAAAATTGAAGTAAACCAATATCTGTATGACAGCTGATCTAGATGTGTGATATGTGAAATTATATGAGTCGCTATCTGTGAATCTCCTCTGAAGTAGCAGCAGGAAGATAGCAGTAATGTTTATGACTAGAGATGATTTGGTTTCAATATAGCAAAAACTAAAGAATAAATTGTTCGTAAACAAGCTTGTGATTGTCTTTTTTTAACCATGCAAAACAATTCTGTTAACTTGCACATGTAACCATCTAACTTTGCCCTCAAGATACGTGGAGTAACATGCTTTATATCCAAACGCACATGCCAATAGTTAATTTGAACTAAACATGCACTATTTTTATTTTATTTTTCTAGATTTTAAAGATTATTTTTTGTAATGGTCCTGTCTGTGATCCCTAATAACTACATTATAATGACCTCAACAAATGGATACTATAATATTAGATTGGTCTAACTGAGACAATAACATTAAAAATAAATAAATAATAAACGCATTAATTAAAATGCAGACATGCTTATACAAGTACATACATGCACAGACACATAAACAGTGGAGTGACGTGAGCAGTGATTGTACCTCTTTTGTTTGTAGGTGAGCATGGCCTCGGAGATGGGGAACTGGTGAGATACGTTGGCTCCAGCTAAATACTGCACCACCCGTCCAGCTACGTCAATGTTATCTGCAAAAAGAGACAGAGAAAGTGGTTCGAGACAGGTACACTTGTCAGTCCATACTCCCCCAGAGATAAGATTGAATTAGAAGAAAAAATAACAAAAAGAAATCTCAATTGTATCTGCAGATCTAATTACATCGTAACCCTAAAGACAAATTGCAAGCAACATTAATTAATTAAAGGCATAATTCAAATGGAGTCTTAATGAAGAGTTAGCCCTTTTTTTTTTTAGTCTTGGTTTACTCCTTGTCTGGGGCTGCACAGTTTTAGAAAAATATATTTTGTCTGACAAGATTTGCGAATTTGAACTGTCAAGTAATGCAGTAATCCTATTTCAGAATAAGTTTGTCACACATTCACACATTTTCACTAAAAAGGGATTTTGTTGTTGAGCTATAATAGAAATCTTTGTAGTTCCATAATTGCAATCATTTGAATTCAATTATTATTATTGGATTATTTTGTCATTACTAGTACTAGGCTACAGTAGCACACGAGGCAGAAGCACAGAGGTTGGCGTTGTATCATAGGGCAAGACAATTCACCCATCTTCCTAACGTGGCTGAACTCAAACTCCATGACAAGACGAGCTGTTGTTGCTCCACCAACTTTAATATTCAGACGGGCTAAATCCCTATGGCAGATACATTCATCATGTACATGTGGCAGGGTAACAGAAAAGCTTGTTATAAAATGGCATCAAACCTGAGCGCATGCGGCCGTTAAGGAGAGATATTAGATGTCAGACAAATGACTTGTGCGGTACATACAGAACAGAGTGCATTCTGGGTAATCTGACATGTGGTAATAGGCTGACAGTGAAGGATGAATGCATATTTTCACCAGCTTCCTCTATGACTAACTAACTATAGAACTCTTACAACTAAAGCATCTCTAATAGGATTAAATAAATCTGGTTTTACATGTGGCGCATGGAAGACTTATTGGCACCTATAGACATAACACACAGTAATAAATAATAAAGGAGACGGCTGTGTAAAACAGAACAACTTAATCATTAATTCATTTGTTCTTATTAATAAATCACATTATTTTACACTTGGAGCAGCTGATCTTCACCTGCAAAAATGTGGCAGTATACACTTTATACAGTTAACTTACAGGAATATTAAACTATTCCTATCATTTTTTTTCTGTATTTTATTTATTTTTTTATTTTGGTCAAGTGAGCATTTTTCTGTCTTTTTTGGTGAAACATAAACGTGAAAATATGCACTGCGATTTTTGCGAGGAGTGGGAAGAAGAGAATAATAGCTATAGATAGATTTTATTAAAATAAGTAAGTACATTATACGCATACAGATATCTACATCTCAAAAACAAAATCAACTGAAAAGGGAAAAACTACAGCTACGGCTCATTACGCCTACTCTCTATGGAATCTAATAGGAGAAATGGATACTGTAATATGATTAATTGGCCAGAACATATTTGGCTAATGGCTTCTGGATAAACTTTTCAAGCTTGTTTCTAATCATTACAGTTGTCTATCCAATTGCATTATATAACATTACAATTTATAAACTGTATTTTCTGGTTTAATATTGATGGGTCATTTTTAATTGGGCCAGAATTTTTGTAAAACATTCAATTAGCCGGTAAAAAGCATCCAGAATTCTAGTCCCATTTTTTGCCCATAAGAAAAGCACTATGGGACGCCTCTGGACAGTTATCTGCACAGCCCTGACAGATCACACGGAGGAACATTGGTTACAGTGTCCAGCGCAGTGCGGTTTGTGTCTCTGCAAAACCAGATAATGTCCTCTCTCCATCTATTAGCTCCTGACCCGTGTGCTCACCCCATTTGTTCCTGTTCAATTGGCCCGACATTCAAGCAAGCTTCAGAGAGCAGAGAGAGGAGCTGCAGTCAAAGAGAAAATTCTAGGGCTAATTGCTAAGATTTCAAAAACAATTATTATAGAAAAACAACATTTCTCTTTGTTTTTAATAATAAATGCCTCTAATCTTTCAATACCCAGTCACTCATAATGACTGTATTTGATTATAATTATTTTATTGTGTCCAAGCATACTGTTTTATGTTTATTGTTTAATTACATTGATTGCTTTTAGTGCTCTAATGGAGGAGGAGAAAGATGGACAAATATGTGTTTTAAATGTAATGATTTTCATATGCAGCAGCTTGGAAACTAGCCTGATTCATCAGCCGGTTTCACTTCATAGAAATATTCTCTTTGTTCCGGCTTTAAATCCTCGATCTCGGGAAACGTTGACAGCACTAAACATATGGCTCTTCGCTGATTGGCTGGTGACCGAACTTGCACTTCTGGGGTTTTTGCGAACCGTCTAGTGTGTTTTGATTCCTGACCTAGTCGCTGGAAAGAAATTAAATTGCGCCAGCCTGGCTACTTGGAATTGTCCAGTTTATGAAAATGTGTAATATAAACAAAGTGGATTCGGGTTGAACTCAGAGGTAACGTCGGTATAGTCCGGGTATAGTCTATAAATCTGCAGACTTGTATTTCTTTGTGAATTGATTTCACAGGGAACTTTTTGAGAGATATATGTTTTCTGTCTAAAAGAAATGAACATATATTGATTGTAACAAGATGAATGTTGCTAAATTGATTTCAGTAACTTGACTTTAAACAACATTTGCATCTAGTTTACAGTGATTTCCGATATGCAACTAGAACTAAAAACAAGACTTAATACTTCCTTGCTTCTATTGTTTGCCTTATACTCCAGGCAGTGAGATAAACCCAGGTGTATTTGAATGTTTGACTATGTGTCTGTCATGTTGTTGTGGATATTTGTATGATGGCAAACCTGAAAATTGCTGCACAACAAATCTGCCTACGGGTACAAATAAAGTCATCTGAACCTGAACCTGTATCATGTTTGTTGTTACCTGAAGTGGGCCGCTCCGTCCTGCAGAACAGCTCCCTCCAGGCTGTGTCCATAAACAGATTGTTGAACTTGCTGTCGAACGAGGCCACGTGTTTGGCCAAAGGATGTGAACCTAAAAAGACACGTGCACAATAACAATGATTACTAAAAACAAATACTGACAAGAAAAAAACAGAAGCCAAGGTGCTCTTCTGCATTAATTTAATTTCGTGAACATTTTAAAAGCATGAGCTGATTTTTCTTTCCCACGCATAACAGCCTGCAGCAGCTTCCTTAAAGATCACTGCGAGGAAGACCTTTGAAATCTTTAAAAATTTAGCCCAGTTAAATAAAGGATTTTTAAAGGCAGGTAAGAAAGTGAGTGCTTCACTAAGTCAGGAATTGTGAACAAAATTGTAAAAACGTCAGGTGCTTTACAAGGACATGACCATATACTAAGAGAGAGGCTAAAGGATTTATAAACTTTAATACCTGAAGAGCACTTTGTCTTGGCTTCTGTTTTGTCACCAATGAATACTTTCAATACTGTTTAAAATACTAGTACATAAACGTTTCTCTAAATAAATAATAAGTCATAATTAACACATCAGTGCTTTTATCTTATGTGCACTGTAGCCTCTCGTCTGTGTACTTTAGTTTGTCTTCTAACATAAATCTTTATTGACGTACCAATGGGGATGACCAGGAAGCGGATATAACTGAGCCAGTCAGGTGTTTTATTGGCCAGCTGCTCCACGAAGAACCTCAATATCGTACTGAGGTAACTCTGGTCTCCGGCTGCCGCCACCTTCATGGTAGGAGGAGTCTGTGCGTTACAGTTGCAGCTGGAGATAGAAAGGACAAAGACACAAATTAATTACTAAAGAAATCTAGTGGTACAGTTTAATTATTGCATTGACTTATAATTAAACATAGCAAAAATACTGAAATCAAGCCGTTTCTAATTTTTAATAATATCTAGTCTAAATGGGTCAGATGATCACATTTTTTTTAAATATCTAAATAAAATCACATGTTCCTACTTTTGGATTTTTTAAAACATATACCAACTCAGAACAGGTTGGGGAGCCAGGAAACCTCTTTCACAAATTAACACAATATTGCAAACATGAAGTAGTTTTATATGAAGTCTGATATCATCGGCTTTACATACACTGTCCATTTAGACCACATCTTGTAAAATAAGCCAAGCTGTACTTTCAATAAAAATGAAACTTTTTCCATTGTATAGATCAGATAATCACTTGTGATATAAAAAAGTTAAGTTCTACACTATTCTTAAACTATATTAAAATGATGACTAGTTCCTTAGTTGTTTTGTTTAAACAAATCTATATATTAATCGACTAATTATTTTAAGGAGTTTGGGCACAACAGTATAAAGGAAAAGGCCTGGAGTGTGTTAGCCAAAGTTTTGGGAGTGACTGGACAGCTTAATCTGCCTTTTAATTTCTGTGGATGTTCTTTACAAGTACTTCTCTGCATACACAGTAGTTTGGGCGGGGTTCTAATTATTTTGAAGCTTTTGTTAGTACCATTACCCCTTTTAGTCGAATAACCGATACATAGGGCGTCTTTTTTCGTTGTCATTTTTTCTACAGTGGTTCTAATAAATGATCCAAGATGGAGAACCACAAAGGGTAAAACATTTAAAATTAAGTTATTGCATCACGTTTTTTGGCAAGATACAGCACTCGAGCATATTTCACACGGATGTCTTATCTCACCATCTGTGTCAAAAATGTCAGAAAAGCATGTGTTTTTTTTGCGGGTTTCGCTCAGCTGGAGGCGAGAATACAACAGCAGTCAGATGGTGAACTGTTATGGCGTGGATAAGAGGTATGTGTGCAGAAATATTTAGCTATGACAAGATAATGTGTCTTTAACATGCCTAAAATATGCGCATCTACTTGACACCTAATATTTCATATTGTCAAGTTCTAAAGAGAATTATGACTATGACACAATGGAAGAAGAATGTTAGCAACTTGTGTTTCACAACTTGAATTTTTGAAGTTACTGGTATTTTGAGAAGAAACACCATGATTTTACAATTATTCATGAGGCAATATAACTAAAACAGTAGGGATGCAACAATATTGAATATCTCTAGGTACGATATTATCATGATGTGCATCTCACAGTACGATATTTATTGCGATGTTTTGGAGAGGCTGATATAATTGTAGATACGACATGTTTCTGCTTTTAAAATACTTTGACAAGATTTTGGTGTGAATTATTTCCGTCATAATCCCAAGAAATCAAGTAAAAAACATGTTTCTTCATGTTTTCTGCACTGAAATGAATCATGGGATATGTAGTTCCCTATGTTTGTAAGCTGCTGCTACTATAAAACCATGCATTTAAGAAAAGGAACTTGTAATTTGATATATTGTGACAGCTCACGATATTATTGTGAGACTCCTGATGATACGATATCACAATATTTTAGCATAAAATTCCTACACTTTCTAATATTACATTCTTATTCTTATTATACAGTGCGTAATAACACAGCTTCATGAAATCAAACTTTCTGAATGGTAAGTGAATAAAATGTGAAAAAAACAGCCTGATTAAAATTTTAGGTAACATTTTTGGAACGATATGTTGAATTAAGATTGTATTCATTTTGATAAAATTGCCATAATTATAATTTGTTAGTTCTTACAATTATACTGTGATATCCCTTGTAGAAACTGGAGTAAACCAGTTGACAGAGATGCAGGTGTGTTAAAAACAAAAAATAAGAAAACATTGACATTTTTTGCTCAAATAAAATCCAGAGGCAGGGCATCCAACTGACACGGCCCTGTCTCCCCCTGACATAACCTCCTGAGGTGAAGACGAAATATCCAACAGAGAAGGAGAGTTTGTGCTTTTTAGGCACATTTGGGTTGAGTTGTTTTGCAGAAAATAGTGATCTTTCCTGTGAATCCTTCTGGCAGATAGCACTGAGCTTATAGTGGAAAAGTAAACAACAGTAACAATATAGAAAGAAGACAGTAACATTTAGGTGTGTCTTGATTTGCTCTACGATTTGAAAAGTTGAAAAGATGAAATTTAAAAGAGATATTGTTTGACATCCTACAATCTCTCAGTGTATTTAGAATTTCTTTGTGACTGTTGGACACAAAATCAATTACATTTTTCCCACATCCCTTTCCCATATTTGTGTTAGAACCCTAGCTGCTATACATCGATGTCATATTTACTGATGAAGTATAACATTATGACATTCTTGTATTTTGCTTTTTTTTTTTAGGCTACTACTATTAAAAATTGATTCTTAGCTACATTAAATAACAATTCTCAAAATCTGCAATAGTGATAAATATTGAACATAATAATATGTTAAATACTGTGGCCACTAGAGGGTGATTTGAATAACAAAGATTATCTCTCCATGATGATGCCTGTTCGTTGGTGGAGTTTGGTGGAGCCTGATAAGTTTGTTGCATTTGGAGCAGCAGAGGAGGTAGTCACATTCTTATACTGGTGTACAAGAGCGTCATTTATATGTAAAGTATGTGAGTTTATAAGAAAGCGCAGAGCCCCACTCACAATCTCTGGATGCGCGTGACGATGGTGTTGAAGGCGGCCTGGACATCTGCAGCAGAGCAGGTGGACACTATGGGCTGGCCCTGTTCATGAAGCAGGTCCGCTACATACTGAAACACAAAAGCGAGGTGCAAGGGGTTAATAGACATGCAGACTCTTGACTTCGAACTTCAAATGAACTGTCTGAAATGAATTGTATGTATAGTGAGTGCACTGATGTTATGTACGTTTGTGTGATTTTTGCTGTTCTTTCCCCTGTCCTGTAGATGATTTGATGTTTGACATCAACCTGCCGAGGGACTGAAGTTGGAAATTAGCCACACTGGCTATAATCTTTACATATTTATATTTTAAATGTTCATTAATATGTGTTGTCCCTTTACAAATAAATAAATATTAAATAAGAAGTAGTTAGTGAATTGAAACAACTATATTTCACCTATAAAACTGTCACAATTATTATTTGCAAGGGATGTAACAATAACCGAAATATTGTGATATCATATCGTCAAAAGTGTCATAAAAATATCGTGGGTTGTCACAATATATCGAATTACAAGTTCCTTTGCTTAAATGCATGGTTTTACAGTAGCAACATCTTATAAACATAGGGAACTACATATCCCATGATTAATTTCAGCACAAACAACATGAAGAGATATGTTTTACTTGAATTCTTGGAATTATGGCGGAAATAATTCACACCAAAATCTTGTCAAGGTATTTTAAAAGCAGAAATATGTCCTATCTACAATTATATAAGCCTCTTCAAAATATCGCAATAAATATCGTACCGTGAGATGCATATCGTGATAATATCGTACCGAGAGATATGGATATCATTACATCCCTATTATTTGCTCATACACCGTTGTTGTACTAGGTTAATTAAGATGTTAATAAAGTAGTACGTTTTTCAATTATATGAAGTAATTTATGTTATCCAAACTTTTAATGTTTCAACTTTATTTATAAGTGACTTTGAAAACTTAAAAGCTAAATAAATGTTTTATTCTGGCAAATGCACTGGCAGAACAAACCTGCACTGGGCATTGTTTGTTGTTATGCAATTTTTAAAAATGTTTAAGAAAAAGTAGCAAAATATCACTTATTTATATTTACCGCTACTAAATGTATGTTAAAAGCTCATATAAAATGCATAACATGAATGCCTTGTTTGAGATAACAGCTATAGCATTAGTACAGAACAGCACGTACCTGTCCCTGCCACTCTGTAGTGTTGATGAGAATAATGCACTCTGGTAACCGCTCGTCAGAAATAAGGATCTGATTGAGCTGATCGTACACGGACTTCCTGGGAACCTTTAGATAAACAGAAAAGCACATTAGAAAACACAGTATACAGCAGTTCAAGGTCAAAACGTGCTGTTGTTATAATAAAGCCATACCTGTGCTATAAGCCTGGAGTCTGGGGAGCATTCACTCTCCATGCTGCTCGTGCGGTCGTTCTGGGCCTTAGAGTTTTGCCTGTCCTTCATGGAGGTACTGCGCGTTCGCCTCTGCAGTTTGTTGTCCATTTTACTGAGGACACAGGGGCAATAAGTCCAATTATGCATCATCCAAAAGCAACGTGCACAGGTCTATTCCCATGTGACTCCTGGAGATGTATAGTGTTTACAACATTTATGATAATCGCAAGTTCAGTATGCGGTACACAACATGCTTACACAACAATACTGAGATATGCAAACAACCTATGATCATATAGGTTATTATAGTGGCATGGCGCTTTGAAGGGCATTGGAAAATGGGAGCTAAGTATTTCAATAGGGACACTGTACCTTATATAACTTGACCTTGGTTACAATAAATGTATGGAGGAAAAGACATATGGCCTTTTTTTTTTTTTCCTTTTTTGTGCAAGAATAAAAGATCCAATTAAATTATATCCATGGATTTAAAAATTTTGGGTACATTTCTTTGGGATCTACAAGGCACTAATTAAACATTTACCAAAGACAATTGATTGTTAATATTTAATTATCACGTATTAAAACCTGCAGTATGCGTCCACAATACAGTACTATTAAAATAAGTACTTTGTTGGCAACTTTGGTCTTATTTCTGTTGTAAAATGTGATCTAAATTGTACTTATAGTATATTGTATGAATGGTTTTAGAATGACAACATGGTAAAATATAATGAATGACCATTATTTTATGTTGATTAAAAGAGAATTAACATCAGTATCTATATATATATATATATATACAAAAAATACAATTGTTCCAACACTAGTACTATTGTAACATATTGATTCCTTATGCAGATGTGCGCAGCTGTTACCTTGGAGACATGTGGTTTTGGGACTCGGTTTTGCAGAGCTTTCCAACCGTGCTAGACACTCGCTCGGAGTTGACATCCCAGCTGCTCACCTCGCCTTGCCCCGGACCGCTGTCGTCAGTCTCTGGCTCCTGAAGTCAACAAGAGGAGGGCAAAACATGAATTAACTAGAAGACAAAGTGTTTACTTCCTTAAATAAAGGTTTAATCTATCAGAAAAATGCTTGTAAATTGTCTGTGTATTTATGATGGAATTTTCAGGTATTACAGGTATTCAGTTTTGGAACTCACTGCTACTTCCTGTTTTTGTACTAACTTTCAACTAACTGATTCAAAACTATGATAAAAATTTACCACAGACCAAGTAATAATTAGAAAAAAGAGAAAACAGCAGATGCAGTGTCAATGTCCTGGGATCCTAGGAAAAGAATAATTATATGTATTTGGTATGAGGAACATTCTGTTTTAGTGCAGCGGGTGAAAGGTGGTAAACAGGTTGGATGTTGTAGCATTTTGTAGTATTTTTGTAAATATTTTAGGATCTGTCAGCAGCACACACAGAATAAGTGGACAAGTGCAATGGCATCTACCCAGCATTACTTTCTGTTTACAGTTTCAGTTATATAAGCGTCTGTGGTCAAGGACAACAAACTTTTAGACAAACAAAACATTGATTTTTCTAAACTTTTGGCTCCTACCAATTTCACAATATTTGTTGTTACAAAATACTCATCAGTTATGCTGAGAAACAAACAAAACACTGATTTAATTATTGGCATTGAACATTATTGGTTTAATTTGTTTTTCAGGGGCATACATTTGATCTTTTTTTTGTGTGTGTATGTTTTTTATGTTTTTAATGTTTTTTGATAAGAAATGCTGCAAAATCATGTTCTGTTGAAGGGACAATAAAGATACTCTGACAAGTATATATTCATGTATATTGCACAAATATAAAACATTAAGGTTGGCTCTGTCTGTTCAGGGATCTTGTGTAAAATCTGGGACAAAATAATGTGCAAATCAAGGTCCACTAGGAGGCAGTAGATCTTATGCATCAGACTTCAAATTGGTTCCAAGTATTCGAATTTTTTTAATTTGAATGAATCCAAAACAGAAATTGTTGTTTTTAAACCAAGCATGTCTACTAATTTTCAGATTGACAAGGGCTCTTTTCAACAATATACTAAACCTACAGCTATGAACCTTGGCGTTTTCATTGATGAAGATTTGTTGAGTTTGACAAGCAGAAAAATGCAGTGGTTAAATCCAGTTTTTATCACCTGCGGCTTTTATCCAGACTCAAATCTGTTTTATCTTTTAGTGATTTGGAGCGAGTGATCCATGCTTTTATCTCTACGCGTCCTGACTACTGTAACGCACTGTACACTGGTACCATCCAAGCTCACTTGTCACACTTACAGTTAGTCCAAAATTTTGCAGCATGTCTTTTAACTGGGACGTCGTAGAGAACATATTACACCTATTTTATCCTCATTGCACTGGCTCCCCATTCATTTTTAAATTTTATTGTTTGTTTTCAAAGCACTTCACGGACTGGCCTCAATGTACATTTCAGATCTCATTGTTCACTACAATCCTTCGTGCACAACTTGTCGTCCCAAAAAAACAGACTCAAAAGCTGGGGTGACCAGGCTTTTTTCTGTGGCTGTCCCCAAACGTTGGAACACTCTCCTCCCTCACATTAAGAGTGCCCCTTCGATTCTTTTTCAGTCTCGTTTAAAAACACACTTTTACTTGCTGGCTTTTAACACGACATGGAATTGCGTGGTCCTTTAACTGTCTTTTATCAATTTTATTTGGTCTTTTTCTATTTGCTAATTTTAGTATTAGTTTTGTTTTTTATTGAGTTGCTTATTTATTTATTTTATGCTTTATTTTGTTTAATGTGTTCATTTATATTGTGCCAACTTTGTGCAGCATTTTGGAGACTTTTTGTTGGTAAAATGTAGCCAGGCTAGCGCCACCTACTGCCTCTGCTCAATTTAATTTCTTTCCAGCGACCAGGTCAGGAATCAGAATACAATAGACGGTTCGCAAAAACCCCGGAAGTGCGAGTTCGGGCACCAGCCAATCAGTGAAGAGCCATACATTCTGTGTTGTCAAGCGATTCCCAAGACCGAGGATTTAAAGCCAGAACAAAGAGAATGTTTGGTGAATTTCATCAAGGGGAAAGACGTTATTTCTCTTCTTCCTACGGGATTTGGGAAAAGCTTTATATACCAGTTAGCCGCGCATTACATACATCACGACCAAATAGCAGCGATTGGTTAAATGATAAAAAGTACCCGCCTACCATCGAGCGAACGAATTCTAACACTATGAGGTCAGACGGCTTGTATGAAGTGAAACTAAGTGAAACCGGCTGATGAATCAGGCTAGGTAAAATGTGCTGCACAAATGAAGTTGGATTGGATTGGATTAGAAAAATTATTTAATTCAAAGATTCATGTCAATGGAACGATCTTGACTTGATGGGTTTTAGTTTCCTGCTATAGGTGACATTTTGAAGACATCATATTTTGTTTAATTGCTATGGCAACAGTTCCATTCTGAAACCCATGGATGGCCTCTACTTCCCTTATCCAAGTTTGTGCTGAGTTGTGCGATGAGGAAAAAAAAAAAAAAAAATCACAAGAAGCCAGAATTACTAATCAGAGCCTCACTCCTCCTATCTCTTTGAAAGGCTTAGATGGTGCGGACAGGAGACAGAGGTACGCTGCCTATTGAATAATTGAGTTTATCGGCTGAGTTTGATGCCAGATAATGATGCTAGCTCGCTGTGACGAAGAGGAGTAAAAAGTCATGATCTCGACACAGGTGGGAGCAGACACACTCTAGTTCCTGTGGTTTTCGAATCACATTTCAGATCCAGGTTAGTTTTGATTTGTGCTCAGAGCTCTTATGCTACACAGAAGGGGGTCAGGGTAGTCTGATGTGCAAGGTTAGACTGACCTGACAACAACAAACAACTAAACACAAACAATCAGATGCAATTTATTCTGCACGAGGTCTCCTGTCTGCCCCACTGATCTATAATGGATGACTATACTGTTTAGAGAGCCGACCCTCCTCCTCCTGTCTCTTCCTCTTTCTTGGAAAATAACTAGGACCCATGTGTAGAGAAGGGCACTCACGCTGATAGAAAATAACATCAACAAAAGAAGTAGCCAAAGGGAAACAAAGTAAAAATACAAGTGCAGTGTCGGAGAGCATACCCCGGCAGTGGCGTCGTTGATGCTGTCGTCATGGTACCGGCTGCTCTGCATTTTGCATCTGTCTACGGTCAGAAAGTCTCCAGTCTGTAAAATCAAAAACAAAACAAAATATACTTTATATTATATACACAAGAATGTAGCAGGCTGTAAATTTGTTTCAAGAAGATTAAAAATAAATCCTGTTCTTTATCACGAACGAAAAACTATTTATTTTAAAGGCACACTATGCAATATTCATGTTATTATTCATCTGGATATTTTCAACAGTATGAAATTAAATGTACAACCTCCATGGAGTCAAACAGGTGATACAAGTTAAAGGTCAGATGTGAGGAGTGTTAGAAAGCTTGTTTTTCAGTGTATTTTAGCATTATTAAAACACCCAAATAGGGCTGAATGATTTTAAGAAAAAATTGAATTGTGATTTTTCTGGCAGATATTGCGATTTCGATTTCATCCACGATTTTTTTCAAATCAAGTTTTAGTGCACATGAACATTTGCAAACATCACAGAAACTTACATCATACCAGAGTCCTGCACCGGAGATTTGGACTGTAAAGCCCAATTTATGCAGACAATAAGGGCAGTGACTGGTTCTCTCTACCACTGCTCTACATACATTTCCTGTACTCCACTTTCCTTTCTTTCAAAATTCATAAAGTAATAATGTGTTTAATGCAGCTTTGCGCAAATCTGTTTAGATTTTATAGAAGCTAAACTTAAAACCACATGGCTAATTTGCATAAACTATAAGCGCTGAAAAAAACAGCTCACCCCTTGTGCCATGATGTGGTCAGCTTCTGTCGGACTAAAGGACACAACGAGTGAAATATATGTGTTCTTTTTGTGACAGAGGATGTGCTGCTGATGAGTGTGAGTCTTTTCTGTGCTTCTATTGCATTCGAGATGGTTTCATTCATGTTAAACTTTACACGAACGCCAGTTGTAAATCCTAGACCCGTAGCGTTGTGGTGGTGAATTACTTTGTGGTGTATAGACCTCGACGCAGATCCATAAATCAAAAACGCTGGCAACAAGGCGACCGCAGCAGTGTGCGTTGAGTCAATGCAAAACTAAACTCTGCCCTTGAATCGGGCTTTAGGAGCACTGCAAAAAAAAATGCAGCTTTGACGCTCCCAAAATCATGTTGTATGAGATTGAGATTTTCGGTCCAAAACGATAGAATGTTCAGCCCTACATCCAGCATTTATTTTATGCCAGATAGATATGTTTAAAGCTGTACTGTGGAACATTCTAGCCAAAGAAATCACTATGAACACAAGAGGGTGTAAGACTTCCACAAAGGTACATAATACACCTTTAATAAAAAGCCTAATCAAACAATGTTAAATAATGTGCTTAAGATAAAACTGACCATTAGACAATCTACGGACCATTACCTTTACTACTTTAATCACATTGAAAAAAAAAAAACATTTCTGTCTCAAAGAAGTGTACTTAAAATTAAATGAACTATTAAAATAAAATGACAGCACAATTTATAAAGCCCAGGAGAACAAAGCAACCAATCACATTATAAATTCCTGAATGTTGGAGTACATTTTGTAACATGTTTCTTAATTAATTCTTTCACTAGATCAAAGTATTACAATCTGCCTTCAGTCGATGTTTATGTACTTTGGCTGTAGACATTTATGGGGCCAAATGTAGAGCTACGGCCGCTCAAAACGCAGCCGTCATTTTTATTGCGAGCCAAAGTGGATTCTGGGATATTTATAAACAGGACTGCCCGTGTCATAAGTCAAAAATGCCTTCCTCTTTCTCCGGCCTTGTTGTTTTCCAAGAGCCGTAAATCTCCGAGAGGGGGGGTGGAGGAATTGCTTTATCCCATCTTATGTCTGACCGAAGGGGCTTATTTGTGTCTTCAATGGCAGCAAAGGGGTCATTTGGTGTCAGTCCCTATAAATACAAAAAGGACCAGCGGGGGTGGAATGGGCAAAGAAGTGCTGTTTTCATTGCTGTGCCAATCTGAGAGCTTCAGGTTTGCATTTAGGCCAAGACATAGAGAGTGGGCTTGTGTCATCACCTCTCGGAGAATTTTCAGTTCGCGTAATGGTAAATCAATGAAGTTTTTAAGACACTGAATGCAGAATGTTTTTCCACGGCTCTTGTATTTACCTTTTTCAATTTTTTTTAGCTAATGTATCGTTAAGGAAGTTTTGTTTAACATATTTTTTTCAATCCAAGTGCACCATATAATATAACAGACAATATTATAAACCGTAATATTGAGGATACAGTTTATTTTGACAACCACTTGTAATTTAGTTTTTGTAAATTTAGCCAGTAAATGTTTGTTTAGTCTAGTTTTAGATTTAGTTTACATTGCGTCAACTGAAATTCTTATGATGATAATTACATTGCATTGCTTCATGGGGCATTTCATCGACAAGTTTGTATATGACCGGTTTTGGCGCTGTGCAAAAAGAAAAACTTAGATTGACTCCTTTTTAATAATATAAGAAAATAAATATACAGTACTGGTCAAAAGTTTTAGAACACCCTAATTTTTCCAGTTATTTATTGCAATTCAAGCCATGCAAGTCCAATGAATAGCTCAAAATAGTACAAAAAAAAGATAAAAGAATATAGCTGCAAGCAGCAATGCGGAGGCCTGCAGAATAGGCAAGAGCAGGAATGGTAACACAAGCACAATGAAATTTCGTTTTTAATCCAAGCAGATCAATAGATATCCCTTTAAACAAGTTTTTATGCAGTTTGGTGTCAATATGAATGCATGTCCAAATTTAACCAGCTGGTGGCGCTATAGCTCTTGAGGTAGAGACCCAAAAATTACTGAAATTTATGGGACTGGCCTGAATCAACATGTCAAATTTCATAGCTTTATGCCAAGGCGTTCTATGGGATACCCAAAAAAGAGCCTTTCTGACAAAATTCAACATGGCTGCCAAATGCAGATGGTCACGTGATAAACATTATGACATGTATCACTGAGTCAAACAGCATCAGCAGGCACAGGAATTTTCTTGGAAATCCAAACAGATCAAGAGATATCACTTAAATCACCATTTTGCTAATTATAGCGCCCCCCAGAGGTTGAAGGTCAGAAATTTTTCTGAGGGTCCAGAGTGAGGGGTCATGAGTCCAGGTATCAAGTTTGGTGTCAATATGTCAAAGCGTCTCTGCGCAGCGAGCTCACTTCCTGTTTAGGAGCTTTGCTGACAAGTTTAATGGTCATTTGCCAGAAAACAAAGGCTTAAATGAAAATTTCATTTGAAGTTTTTTGTGACAATTGGTCTAAAGATTGTGTGTGACAGGTTTCAAGAAGATTCGACAAAATTTATGAGAGGAGATATATTTTGAAGGTTTTTGATAAAATCCAAAATGGTGGAAAATGACGTCATGGGGTGCAATCAACTCGTCTTGGCCCAAGGACTCCAAGAACACCTTGTTTGTGACAATTGGACAAATGGGTGAATAGTTATAAGTGTGAAAGCACGTTCAAATTTGACCTGTTGGTGGCGCTAGATCTCTTGACCTATTGACCCCAAATTGGCTGTGAAAGACTATGAGACTGTCCTGAACCAGTGTGCAAAATTTCACAACTTTTTACCAAGGCATTCTATGGACTGCCATAGACACCCCAGACAGAAATATAATAATAAGATCGCATGCAAAAACAAAGGAGTCCTGCAATAATTAAACACAAGTCCAAGGAAAAAAAAGTCCAAGGAAAAAACAAGATGATAAACTTGAAAACATGGAGTGTCCAGCACAGTCTCCAGTCTTAAACCCCACTGAGTTGGTTGTGGGATGACCCGGACAGAAGAATGAAGCCAAGCAACCTACAAGTGCCACACATTTATGGGAACTTCTGCAACAGACTGGGGAAGAACTTTCTGAAGAATATTTGATTTCTATTGTAAAAAGAATCCAACGAGTGTGTTCAGCTGTTTTATCTGCCAAAGGTGGACACTTTCATGAATCAAAAGTTTAGAATATGTTTTGTTCTATAAATTGATTCCATTATTTATTTTTTTAACTCAAATAGCTTCTTTATTCTATGCTTTCACTTCAGAGTGCAATGACACAAAAAACTAAAACTTTTGAACCGTAGTGTATGTATTTTTCAATTTGGTGACTGATCACTGATTAATTTTTGTTCAGTTTGCATTTTGTTTTAGTCAGCAAAAACAGAACACTTAAAAAAACTATGACGAAATACTTTAGTTGACCAAAACTCAGTAACTACATATCACTTTATGCCAGTAAGACAATAATCCAAGACATAACAATCCTGTAAAATCCTTGTCTAAATGAAACCATTAACAAACCATAATTAATAGCACTGTGAAACACTTAAGTAGTCAAAAAAAGTAGTAAAGAGAATCTATCACAAGCTGTACATATGTTAATTATTCCACCTTCAGCAACTCAAATGTAAGCGAGAAAAATAAGAACCAGTTATTATGGGATGATAAATAGATATAGTAATTCTCGTGACAAGCCCAGTTGCATTGCATTCATAGGCAGGATTCCTCACATGTTGTATAACGGACAGAGCGGGACTCCGGGGACCACTATAAACAGCACCAAGGGGTTGGCAGACATTTTGACAGTACCCCGGGGGCAGTTGCCTTACATAACTGTGTTTACAGGCTAGTCCATTTAAAGGAAGCACCGGGATACAGGCTGAACAGAGGAGGAGCAGAGGGAGTTCCTAATAAAGAGGAGAACTTACGGGACATGACAGCTCCCTCTGCTGGCTCTTGTGGCTGTGGATGCTGCCGATCTCAGTCTGCGAGCTGGAGTGTGACATCCCTTCAAAAAATGGCCTGAAACAAACAAAAACACCATCTAAATCGTACACAGAAATCCTATTTTTCCTAGGAAAGTGTCTAGGTTAAATTGATTTAGAACACATAACAGTATTGTAGGTGTAACAGTAGTGGCAATAACATATGGAAAAGTAAATGTATGAAGAATCCCTCAGTCGTCCAGGTAGAATCCGTGGCGAGGAGAAAATTCAGTTTGTCGACTGGACAAAAGTTAGTTTGGTTGAAGACGTTTCGCTGCTCATCCACTGAAGAAGCAGCTTGGATTGAGCTTGGATGAGCTGCGAAACATCTTCAACCAAACTAACATTTGAACTGAATTTTCTCCTCGCCAAAAGTAAATGTAGTTCTTGGCTGGTAGTTCTTTGTTACACTTTATTTATTAATAGTTTATTTGGAATAATTCTGGTTTAGTAACTTAACTAAGGGGTAAAGGTTAGAAGTTAATGTTATAAAGTAGTTACTAAACCTGAATTCTTCTCAATAAACTATTTGTTTATGAATTAAGTCATTTCATGCTTTATTGAGGCTTATTGGGCGTAATACTATATTCTAAAATGTTATTGTAATAGTATTTAGTAGGCCTGTCACAATATCCAAATCTCATGATACGATATCGTCACGATACGATATTTATTGCGATACAGTATTTTGTGGAGACTAACAAAACTGTTAATATGCTTCTTTTCCCTCTTAAAATGCCTTGACAAGACTTAATCCAAACGACTAAGACTTAAAAGTGCTTAGAACTGCTATTGTTCATGTAGTCCGCACTGAAATGGAGCAAAGGATCATGGTCTATGTAGTTCTCTCTGTTTTTTTTTAGCTATTGCTGCACCATAACTCATAATTTAAGCAAAGACACTTGTAATTCAATATATTGTGATGGTCCATGTGAGAACCTTTGATGATACGATATCACGATATTTGGGTTACTGTTACATCCCTAGTATTTATTCGGCCTGTCACGATAATTACTATATCGATTTATCACTCAATATAGAGGGATTATCACACTATGTCACTTCACGCTCTACATGTCTCCTGCAGAAAGAGCCGCTGTCCTGTCTTGTATCATGTCAGTGTCTTATATGATTTCAGCAGATTTCAGGCTCTCCTGGGGGCGGGGCTAGTTGTATTGATCAGGTATAAGTGGATGTCCGACCACAGAAGTTTAATCCATTTCATCTCATCATTTACGTACCCACCTGCACTTAATGTATATGGGTCATTAAGTCGTATCCCACTCACTAATGTTAATTTTGCCTCATAACTTATTTTATCACGCGGTCATAAAGTGTTTTAGTATGCTGGGTAGTACTGCCTTGCGTTGTCTATATGGTAGATGGAACAGTATATATAACATATACAATTTCTTTGCAAAAGTGGGGAGATTTTTGGAATTTTTTTATGCAATGAGGTAATATTTGAGCTGTAGAGGGTTGAATAAGTCATATCTATTGCTATTATTGGTTTATTCCGCTATTTATTTGTTGCAGCTCAGACCTTTTAATGGTTCTGTACATTTAAAAACAGGTTTACTCTGATTATCCTGCTTTGTATCACTGCCGCAAAGTAGTTTCAAGATTATCGTTGATCACATCATTTCTCTGTAGCTATATTGTGCTTCAAAGTGTGTAATCATGACAGGCCTAGTATAGTAATGTTTTCATGTAATAGCAAAACACTTTAATAATAATAAATTTAACTGACTGAACTCTTTCCTCTGTTGTGTATAGATTATAATTCAGATAAACCTTCCAGATTCACTGCCTGTACAATACATCCTTTCCTATAGACTCGGTATAATCCTTACTCATGATTAAAATATGTTGCATGCTGATATAATGTTTTCTTTATTAAACCTTTGCATTATTCATATCATGGCCTCAGATGTAATTTCCTGCAGATTTAATGGCACATACTTGAGTTTGGGTTTGGGCGTGCTCAGAACACTCTCGTTGTCCTCCATCTCAGGCCCACTGTCGCTCTGGTTATAAACCTCCAGACTGTCGTAGAGCAGGTCCAGGTCCTCCTCTACCTCCTGCGTCTGGTCCACCGGGTCCGAGTCCAGGACCTGTCGCGATAAGAATAATAATGCATCAGTTGTGTTTTTAGCTTTTTTGGGAAGCAATTTGAGATTTTGAGATGTGTACTAATAATCAGAGATGAAAAAATAAGCAAAATATCATGATATCGTATTGTCAAAGTTCTCAGAATAATATCGTGGACCATCACAATATATCAAATTACAAGTCTCTTTGCTTAAATTAAGAGTTATGGTGCAGCAATAGCTAAAAAAAGAGAGAACTATATAGACCATGATCCTTTGCTCCATTTCAGTGTAAACTACATGAAGAAATAACAGTTCTAAGCACTTTTAAGTCTTAGTTCTTTGGATTAAGTCTTGTCAAGGATTAGCAAATTAAGAGTTTTGTTAGTCTCCACAAAATATCGCAATAATTATCGTACAGTGTGATGTATATCGTGAAAATATCGCACCGAGAGATTTGGACATTGTTACATCCCTAATCGTGAGCCTCCCCTCCATATCGTGAGTTTTCCCACGATATCGCAATAAAAATCGTACTGTGAGGTTCATACCGTGATGATATCGTATCGCGAGACTTGGATATTGTTACACCCCTACTAATAATAATATGATAAAAATAATGAAATAATAAAATACATTATGATTTTTATTCTGTCCTCAATTCAACAGTAAGCAATTTCAGTACTGAGCTTGATGATACCCAAAAGAACTAATAACTCTTCAACAGCGCAATAAGAAACTAGATATTTTAGATGCCAATTAGCCCAATCTGTCCTTCATTAAATATGTGGAATTATAATAAAATTTGACTATATTTTTGCAATAGATTGAAGAAATGTATTATTTTTTCCAGATTTTCTTTTTTTTTTTTTAAATTATGTCATTATTAGCCTATATAATCTGTGTATTAAAATTCTTAAAAGTCAAAAGTCAGTGGGGAAAATGAAAAGAGTTTACCTGTGGAGACAACAGAGCAGCTAGAATGATTCCCCTATGTGCCGTGTTCGATTATAAATAGTTAAGTAACATTAGAGAGGTAGACAGCAGTAGTTTATGGACTCGCCACTTCAGTGTAATAAAGGTTTTAAATTAGCGACTATTAAACACACGCAGGATTAAGTGATTGATTGAGCATGTTTACTTATACATGAGTTAAATGGTGGTGTCTATGGTATAAATATCTGTGTGTATTGGTCCTAAGCGGGTCAATTAAAAGGTGAGTGAGCGCTGTGTGATTGCTGAGAGCTTTGGGCTGCTCTGTGGGGAGGTATATCACAGGAGCAGAGCGCAGGCAGCTCTGGACTAATCAGGTGATTAATGCCACTCCATAAGAGCAGAAGCTGGCAGGAGGCAGATAAACAGGCTGTCCCTCCCCCATCTCACTCGCACTCTTCGGCTCCCTTCTTTCCGTCTCTCTCTACTCCTTTAGTCCCCCTCCCCTCTCTCTGTCTAGGCCTCGCTTTCTTTCTCTCTCTACCGGACTTCCTCAAACCAATCTCTCTACCTTACCTGCTGTATTTTCTGTCTCATTTGTCTTCTTTATGTATCTAATATTTATTTATGTTGACTTTTGAGCGCCTATTTCGATTCTCTAGCTGTTCTTAAAAATGTACCCGTTGTGGGACAAATAAAGATCTCTCCATCCTATCTCTCTCACACCATTTTACCTGTCTTTTTTCATCATTTTCTGTCTTCTTCTTGCTTTTTTTAGCCTCCACTATCCTCATTTTTAATCTATTTCTTTCCCTCGCTCTTTCTTCTTCATACATTTGCTCTATCCTACCTTTTTACAACTTTTTGTTTCTCCTCTTCCTCTCATCCTCATGTTTTCTCCTGCCTCTCTCTGTGTTCCCCTCTCTCCTTCCTCTCCCCCTCTGCTTTCCTTCCTCACTCTCACCTCACCCTCTGTCTCTGCCTCACCCTGTCTCTGCCTCACCCTCTCTCTCTCTCTCTCTCTCTATCCTTCCCTACTTTATCTCTCCATCTCTCGCTCCCTCTCTATCCCTCCTGTGGCCCATGTATTTATAGACCGGCCGTCTGACACAGGGAGGGGATTAGAGGTAGAACGTGATAAAAGATCAGCACCTGCAGCTTCCACAAACCTCCTCGACTGAACCAGGGCATTTTACACAACAGGCAGGTTAAGTCTCACACACTAGTGCCACTGACTGGAGCAGACGCACCAGGAGACACTGCAAATTACTACCCCACACTATCCAGTCAAAAGTCTACTTACACATTAACTAAAAAACAGGGACTAAACCCAACCCAAAACCCACAACTTAATCTTGACTAGAGCAGAACTAAACTTAGAACAGGACCAAAAGTGTGACTGAACCTCTTAATCTTAATATAAACTAATGATTTTAAATAGATTTTCAGCAAGTATATAATACTATGACTAGAATCCATCTATGGTCTATCTTGTTTTTGTCTGAGAATTGGTTATGCAAGGTCAGAAAATCACTACCTAGTCAAGTAAGGCTGCAAGAAAATCAGAATAAATTGTTTGACTAGTCGACACACTGAAACAGTAATTGCTGACTAGTTGACTACTTAGAAAAAAACTAAAATTACAGCCCTAACCACACACACTTTCTGAAAATATATCTGTTGTTAAAATATTATTGTATTCCAGTAACCGAGGACCTTTTATTGTTTGAGTTTGATACTAAGGTAAAGTCTCAATACTCAATACTGATTTGGATACAACAATTATAATGAAAAACATTAGTATTTCATTTTTTTAGCGAATTATAATTTTGATTTTTAAACACAAAATAAGAGTAGTTTTGTTTTATAATCAGCAGTAACCATTTCTGAATGTTTGTGTTCAGCTCTGAATGTTCACGTCTAAATTAAGTGAGCAACCACCTACTTTCCACATGTACTGTAAACAAACTTAAATAGTTGTCATTTTATATTCCCTTGTAATCCAATCAACAGTTACATATATTGCACATTCAGTCTCCAACACAGTGTCAGTTTTTTAGTGTGAGAAAAATATCCTGCTAGTCTATGGATAGCAATTATTAACACAGAAGCAAGTAAAAATGGATTGCAATTCACCGTTCAGCCTACAGCATACATCTAAGTACAACTTTATCTCATTACAGCTGGACATTTGTGGTTCTTATCCAGGGATTTAAAAACCACAATCCTCTGGGACTGAAAATCTCCCTTTTACCCATAGCATAAGTAGACCTGAGGTAATTATTATCATTATAAAGGCATGGATTACTGCTAATGGACACTCACAGTCTATGCATACAAAATGGTGCTGACCTGATTAAACTCTTTTATGTACAATCCTCAGGAACATTCATTCTGCACTTGAGCCGGGAACAACAGGGCGAAACAGGGCAAGTCCAAGCCTCCGTTTATCATTAGATTAAATGATGCACAATAAGGTCTCTAATGGATTCAGTAATAGATGACTCCCACTGACAAACTATTCAAATGTGTGAGGAACCGGGGCAGACTTACATAAGCAGAGAGACTGTATTTTGTTTGTTATTCAAGGTGTTCAATGGGTTTGCACTGTTGCACAATATACATTTCAATAGCTATTGTGTTTCCCTGATAGAAATGCACCTTACATACATTATGGATTAACTTAGAAGCATTTTATGAAATTAATATATACTTCTACAAATAGTTATCTTTAAATAAGGGGACGTATTTAGACTGAAATGACAATTGATTATATTTTACACATATGTACTGTACTGTAACTGTCAGCACACTCCCATATAAGGGCCACAGTTAGAAAGATCACATATAAACATTTTTTGTTCAATTTAAAGTGTTGAAAATGCATGATATTGTTGACTTAAGTATCCTCAAACTAATGTATAAAGCAAAGTGCAGTGTATTACCTGTAAATATTTAAAGTCTATTTGAGATAAGAACAAGCCACTACAATTTAAAAGGAACTTATATATGTTTAAAAAAAAAACTGATTCAGAACCAAGGTTATGGAGCGAAGCATTACTGTGAAAGGAGTTAATTTATAGAATAGTCTTGACGAAGACATAAAAGAATCAAATACAATGATGGCATTTAAAAAAACATATAAAATCAAATGCAATGTGTATGTATGAAAAAGAAAACTAAGTTGTTGTGCATAATAGTGAAGATTTCTGTTTGCAATTGATTAATAATTGTGCCTGAACTGAAATGTACCGTTTTGAAATGTTCTGAAGTAGCTACTGGTGTTGATGTTTTGTCTGGAAAGGGGGGCAGATAACATAAAATTTCTCTTCTATCGACTCCTTTTCATTCATTTCTTCTATGTTTGATGTTGTGACAATGTTGATGTCTTTTTATACTTTATGAATGAAATAAATAAAACAAATAAATAAGTAAACAAATGAATATACCATTAACACATTAATGCTTTAATTATTTATTTAATTAATTAATCCATACCTCAACCCGTGCCTCTGAGTAAATTGTTGTAAATTGTACATTTTCAAAAATAAAATGTAACAAATTGCCCTTGAATAGAATAACAGCCATCATGAGACGCTTGTGTAATACTTAGGGATGTAACGATATCCAAGTCTCACGATACGATATCGTCACAGTATGAACCTCACAGTACGATATTTATTAGGATATTGTGGGAAAGTTCATTATATGGTGGGGAGGCTCATGACTAGAGATCTACAATATCCAAATCTCTTTGTACAATATTTTCACGATACACATCTCATGGTATGATATTTACTGTGATATTTTGTAGAGGCTGCAAAACTGTTAATATGCTACTTTTTCCTCTTAAAATGCCTTGACAAGACTTAATCCAAAGAACTAAGACTTAAAAGTGCTTAGAACTTATTTCTTCTTGTAGTCTGCACTGAAATGGAGCAAAGGATCATGATCTATATAGTTCCGTTGTCTTTTTTTTTTAGCTATTGCTGTACTATAACTCTTAATTTAAGCAAAGAGACTCGTAGTTCGATATATTGTGATGGTCCACGATATTATTGTGAGAACTTTGACGATATCACGATATTTTGGTTATTATTACATCCCTAGTAATACTGGAAATGTTCTAGTAACAACCAATATGTGTGTCTGTTTGAAAAAAAAGCCCCTTAACGCCTGAATTTATATACATGCATGTAAAAAAAAGTTTTGTGTCTGTTTTTGCCTTAAGTAGATGGTAAAATAAATTGAGATTATTAATTTGTACAAGAAACAAATGCTTAACTAGAAACATATATCTTGCTCCAAACGGTTTGTTGCATATTTGTGACGGTCGGTGTTAAGGGGTTAAACTTAAAATAATTTTCAGGGCTAGTGGCACACTGGCATTTTTAAATTTGATTGGGAAGTATTTGACATTTTGGAATCCTTCTGTCGCACTGGGCTTAATTAAAGTTATAATATTTCACACCACTCACCTCATCTGTAACTTTGAACCTCTTCAACAAGGCCACAAACTTCTGCTTAAAGTTGGGTTGCTACAAAAAAACAAAATACTTAATTAATGCACAGTGAGAGACACAGGCAGATTAAATTGGCATGACTGCTTGGCTGTTGTTTTATGGGCTCTCTCAGTCATTGGTTTACTCATTCACAAAGGACATTATTTGACTCAGTCCAGTGAACCTCGCATTCATTTACATGTTCATCCAAGTCTCACTAATGGTTTAGGCAAAGGGAACATGGAGTGCTCTGGCTCCTAAAAGCGTGTCCAATGACAAACACAGGTCTAAGAGGTTATGAGGGGGTAAATGATTGTCAAACACAAAACTTTTATAGAAGAGAGACAGAGAAACCTACCCTGGTCATGGAGGTGGTTCGGATCATTTTCCGTCTCGCCTTCTTCGGCTTTCTCACCTCATCGTCTTCATCGTAAAGATCCTATAGTTAGATGGGAAAAGCATTTATTAGTCCATTTAAATAGGGTCGTTAAAAGTAAGTAATGAAATACTAATCGAGACTACTCATTTAAGCAGCTATCAATACTAAAAAAGTCACGTTACAAGACAAAAATGAACCTTTTTCCGAATAGCTTTAGAATGATGTTGAGCTCAGAACAAGTATAAAGACCACATAGACTAATGCACACCCATGGACCACAAAGGAACTGAAAAAAGATTTTCCCCTTGCGACCCAACCCCAGAAGAACAGAAGAAAATGGATGGATACTACGATTTAATGCTGAAAATCATATTCTATTGTCTAAAGCAGGGGTCACCAAACTTTTTTCTCTATTATCACTCCTGACTGTGATGGGGGCAGGGTTGGGTAGGCCATATAACAGAATTGTAAGACCCTGACGACGCAGATTATATTTTTTGAAAACTGCCACACTTTCTTTACATATCAGACAAACTGCACGGTCCTTACACTGAACAAAAAAATTATCTGTCGTCCACTGTTCTTTTTCGGACACAAGTAAAATCTGCGTGACATTTATTTTTGCTTATTATTATAGAAAAATCAACATTTACTTTTTATATCTATGTATTTACGTTTTCTACGCATGTTCTATGTATTACTGTCCAAATAAGCATTCATTCATTCATTCACTGTTGAAAACTCAGCACTCTGTTAACTTTTCATACGTTAACATTCGCCATTTTGCTGTCCTTAATTTCACTACAGAACTCTGCCCGTGTGTTGACTGTCACTGTTTGATCTCGAGCTTGTCAGGTGACGAAAATTTGGCGGCAAATGTAAATACTTGATATAATTATTTAAATATATACACTTCATACAAATATAATTTTTTAATTGAAAAATCAACAATAAACAAGATGCAGACGTGTTATTATTTGCCAAAAAGTAATAAAAAAATAGGCCATGACAACTTTTGAGGATTGCCTCATAAGGCCAGTTCAAGTGGTTTGGACAGAGGTCTGGTCTAAAGAAAAATTTCAGTAGCGTCTTTTGAGTAAATTTTACACTAAATTTTACCGAAGTTCAGTCCTTGTTTAGTGTCTGTATTTTTAATGTTATTTATCATCTTCTCCTTTGCGATCAAACTTTTAAATGGAAAGCTATCTTGTTAATGTGTCCCCTGAAACACTAAGAGAATGTAAGCTGTATGTTGTATGTACATAATTTTATTTATAGTTTGTTGACATGACCAGACATCTGCAAACTGAATTGCTCTTTGGGGATTAATATAAAATAGTTGACTGATTTTCTCTTAACTTTACCATAACTGTTTAAACAAGTAACAGGCATTAAATTGTTGTTGCTATAGTGATTGCATTTTTGTTGTTTTGAGATGTTTTTGCCCGGCAGCGATTAGCCATGTAGAAAATTAAAAATCTCAGGAGGTTGATGATTACAGTAATTGCATGAAATTATGGCATTTGAGAGATTCAGATAATTTTGGAATTTTTTTGTACTGACTTTAACCTCAGTCTTTTCATGTCCTTGCAGTTTAATTATAATATTTTATGGGTCATGAACTTCCGATAACAAAGATTATTCTAAGTAATAGTAATAATGAATAAAAAGAGTGAGTCAGTACAACAGTCTGCTTCTGTGTTACGCCAGAGAACATACCAATGGTCATAATACACAGCTATTACAATATATCATTTTAAAATGTCCACTTGCTGGCGAAGTAGCACTACTGTAATACTGGTGTGTATTTGTGGACACTGACCTGGCCGTGCACTGCGTCGTCACTGGCTTCCTGCTCAGACGAGTAGCTGTCATCGTCCTCCTCAGAATAGTTGTCCATGTCCGGAGAGCGGTCTGAGGAGAGCCCCAAAAAACACACAAGGAGAAATCATTATCGCATCACTACATGGAGCACATTCAAAAGGGTTATGGTGTTTAAAGGTGCACTATGTAACTTTTTATGTAACTAATTTTCGGTTGGGGGTTTGTTAGCTGCACATTCCTATGGATATGTCATTGCTCTGCCTGGAATGTTCCACAGCACGGCATTAAACAGCTCTACCTTGAGTGGGGTCACCTCTCCACAGATCTGACCTGTAACTTTGTCTAGTTTGGTCTCCATGAAGATAGAAAGGTTTAATGCCATACTGTGAAACATTCCAGACAAAGCACAACATCTCCATGAAGAAAAGCACCGCCACCAGAAAACTTACACGATGCACCTTTAAAGAAGCACTGTGTAACTTTTCTGGTGAAGTGTGTGCCATGTGTGTGTCTCCATGGAGATGTGATTGCTTACAGTATGACATAAACATCTTACATCTTACATATACTACATATTTAATCTATTACAGATGTTTTTATGTCCCAAAATACCTTGATATACATTCTTACAGTGTAACCTGGCTTGTTTCCATGGAGATAAGTTAAATGCCATACTGAGGAACATTCTAGATGACTTCTCCATGGAGCAAAATGCACCTTTAACTCTGGAATAGGGTTATTTAGTGCTATGGTAAGATAACTACAGCAGGAAAACGGATCTCGTGTCTAATAAAAATGCTTTGGTTTAACATTTCTGAATTTGTCGTCAGGAAATTTCTTGTAAAAATATAAGATAATTGATGCAGGAAAACTGGCCGCACGACTAAAAATAATACGTGCAGGTCTGGGCTGTGTCAAACTAAAGAAGACAGCTCCAGACGGTTTCCCACCACCACGCGTCTGTATGAGAAATAAAGTTAACCCCCTGGCCCTACAACGAGCAGATTCAAGGTCAATGTTGTATTAGAGCAACTGTTTTCAATCTAGTCACTGGTGTATAGAGATGTGGAGAGGAAGTACTCTGCTGTAAGAGAAAATACTAAGGACAACACCAGACATGGACAGCTTGGCAATATGTGCGAGAAAAATAGTTTTAAATTATTACTGATTAGAGTTGTCTGAAAAAAAAAACACTACCCAAATACAACCCACGAAAACCAAATATCAAAACTAGATACTCAATTAAACAAGTATTGATACTACATTATACTACACACTAAATATATTTTATTATCATTGTGGTATCATAACATGTTTTGAGCATCAAGCCTTTCCTTAGCATTGAATTTTAGATTGCTATTTTTTCTTTTGTGATCAATTTTTTATTAACACTTTCGTTTTTTTATGTATGGGGGAGTACAAGAACATCTGACAGAAATAAGGGCTACAAAAAAGGGAATAGCAAATCAAAAAGAAAAAAAGAGAGAGAAAAAAGCAACAGCAATAGAATATAACATAATAAAATAAAAACAAATGTACAACACAATAGGAGAGCTTAACTTCAACAACTATCTCCAAATCATGCAGAAGTGAGCAGCTTTGTTTCTTTCTTTAAGTTGTTTTAGAAGATTATTGTAATTTAAAATGTGCAAATTCTAACATAATGATCCAAGGATGTCATTGATTTTAGTTATCTAGCAGACATAAGCACAACAAGTCTTTAAAAAGTCACACTTTTTGCGACTTATATATTAAAATTTTCACACTGACAGCCGCAAGGGGGCGCTCTAGGCTTGTGTGTCAGTATCTGCTACTCTTGTTACTCCTATACCACTGTCACTTGGCTCTACTGCGCATGTCTCCTGCAGAAAGGGCCTCTCTCCTGCTGCAAGTAGCAAAATATGCAACCGAAAACGGCAATCGAGCAGCAGAAAGAAAGTTTGGAGTGACCAAGAAACTTGTGAGGAACTGGCGAAAAGGTTTTATGGAGAACACAGCTTCACAGTAACCAGGAGGGTGCGCCATATAACATTCCTGGAAGTCACATGATGGATCGACAAAGCCTGGACTCCTTTTACCATCGGAGATCACGGAGTTGATCAGAAGTGACACGGGATGAAGAATTCAATGGATTTAGTGATTTGAACTGAGATGGAGAGTTTGGTAAACGTGTTCTGTTCTGTTGTTTATGCTATAGTTATCTGAAGAACTCTTAATATGTGACGTTAACAGCCTGTTGTTCTCTGTTCTATTGTTATTACTATAACTTGGCTTTCAAGATGAAATGTCAGTTCCTGGTATCTGATTTTACAATATCAATTTCCCCCAAAAAGTGCGACATAGTCCAGTGTGACTTATATGTTTTTTCTTCTTCATTATGCCATTTTTGGCTGGTGCGTCTTATACTCCAGAGCGACTTACAGTCCGAAAAATACAGTATAAACCAAACTATACTGCTGTAGCGCTGCGTTGGCACATCTCCTACTGTATATCTACGGTATCTTTCCCATCCAGGTAGATTTCACAGTTGAACAGCTAACAGGCATTCAGGTGAGCGATCAGTTTACCACTACTTCCTCTCTACTTCTTTTCCTTCCTTCCTTTCCTGATTCCTGGATATTATTAAGCAGAAAGATAAACTCTGCACAGGTCTTTCTTCTTGGTTGTGACACTGGTCTAATGCTTGTCCCATGAGCTCATCTGTTATGTTGGCCTCTTTAATAACATCCAGAACATGACGGGACCGCTCCAGCTATTCCCCCCCTCCTCTCCCCTCTCTCTCCAGCCTCTCCCAGAATTAGAGCAGGGTAAGGTGATAGCCCGCACATCTGTTGGTCTCTCAAATCCACATAACTGCCATGGCTGAAGAGAATAACATATCCTTGGCCCAGAACTTGGCCTGGGTCTAATACAGTGAAGCATGTCCTCACTGGGGAAATAAAAGCCATGTGGCGAAGGGGAGCGAGGGCGGAGGCCAGAATTATACCCACGGTTTAGGGGCGTGGGGGCAGGCCGGTCCCACTGAGCCAAATAGGGGTCAAAAAGACGGTCACAATTTTGGCTGGAAAACAACCTCTCTCCAATGCATTATACTGTGTTGACCCTTCAATATCATGTTTGCAATGTAAATTTGATCTAGTATACCCTTGGTGCGAATCAGTAGCGTGTCCTAATAGCGAGTGGCTGGTCCAGACTGCCAAGTGACGCCCTTGTATGTCCCTTCCTTTGTAATTGGATGGTGTTAATAGTTTGGTTTTGTCATAGTGAAATTAATATGTTATAACAATACACTTTCAGAGAATTTCCAAACTAAAACGTCAACAGAAAAAAAGTTGTGTACAGCAATTTACCTTTCATTATCTCTACTACTTTATGATAACACCGTGCCATTGTGACCTCGGTAACAATAGGCTCTATTCACGCTTACGTCATAAACCAGGAAGACGTTTGGAAAGATGTGATTACAACTTCCGGTGTAGTTGCTGACTGTGATTTAACCCACTGAAGTAAATGTCATCAGCGGTAAAATGAAGATTGTTTGGAATAATCTTGAATTTGGCGAATCATCTCTTCTAATCGCGTGTACCCGGTGCTTGTGTGTCCGTGGGGAAATGATGAAAACTGCGGTATGGTCGTAATTGTTGATTAGCCGAAAATAATGCGCTACAATGACGTGTAATTGAAGAAAACTGGGCCATTGTCTCATTTTTTCTAGATTTATCAGACTTATTACTATGAACAGAGCCCGGCGGAAACTGTAATCGCATCTTTCAAAATGTCTCCTGGTTTGTGACATAAGCATGAATAGAGCTTATTGTTTGATATTATACAGTGTATTTAATCCATTTGGTTTAGTAACTTGTGACAATTATTTTTAGAGAGAAAAATGAATGAACCTCCAACAGAAGAAGCCAAAGATGTAGTAAAAAGCACTTAAAATGACTTACAACAAATTGCCTTGCATTACTTCACGACAAGACTTACTAATTGTGAAATGTGTCTTTACTCAAACTCAAAAACCCGGTACTTTTCAGAAAATGTATGTTAAAAATAATGACAGTGTAAAAAAAAGAAGTTAACTAAATAATTAAACAAATTATTTAACCTATTATGACTTATTTTCTTGATGACATTACATTTCTCTCTCTGGACACTCACCTGAGGTCTTGGTCTTGCGCCCCGCCTGCCCGCTGCCGTCCTCGTGGTCGATTGGCTGAGAGGACAGAGAGAAGACGCTGATCTCGGCCACTCGCACCGGAGCCTCCTTCACGTTACTGTGTAAACCCAGGATCTGACCGCCATCTGTGGGGTGCTGCATCACCTGCACAGACAGTAACCAGGGTTAACATGGTCAAATCAAAAGAATACAGTAGTAGTAGTAGTAGCAGTAATTAATACTTAAGTGGCCAATTCAACCTGATGTACCAGTGTTGCCTTAGTTTAACCCTTCAAGACCGAAGGACAATTTTAGTACATTTGTCCTTGCCTGGATTCTTTCTTAATTGTGCTAATGAAACTCCCCCTTTTACCCCCTAATGAAGCATTATACATCCTTTTTTCAGTACAACCTGTTATTTCACAATCTGCATGCTGTAGTTGTGTCATATGGCTGTAATAAAAGCCAGAAATACACAGCAAACATGTATAAACAACTTTTTGGACATAAAAAATGCTTAGTTTAGGGCTGTGGCTACAAAATATCAAGTCTGTAAGTAAACTAAAAGTATCTTTATTGCCCTCAAAACAAAAAAAGTGCAATCACCCGATTACTTTACTGGTGCCAGTCATGGAAACAAGTCAAGTCCAGGGCACACAGCCAGATCACTTCCTGCATTTCCATGGTGTATATTTGTATTTCTACATTCTGAGGGAAATCTTCCAAATAAAAATAGCAAGGGATGCACAATTAGGCAGACCAATATGCGTAATTTGCCATTTATTTGGAAAATAAGTGCACTTAGAATGGCTTTTTCAATTGTTATGAACACAGACGCTCAGAGCAATCAACCATCTTGACTCACTACACTCTTTGGCAAAGTTTGGGCCAAAGAAAATGGATGAAACACATGCATCTGGTGAAAAACAAAGTTCTTATTGGACACTAATTTTCCCTACATTATTAAACAGCATGCATGTGACGTAGGATAATGCTGGAAATATGCTCGGAAAGCCACAATACTCAGGTTTTCAAGTGAGAAAAAGTACGTTTCCATCTTTTATGGTTGGAAAGTTATACATGGTTATATAAAACATATGCCCAGGTATTGTATACGACACCATCAGGCTGGAAGGGTTAACATAATTTTCTCAATAGCAATAATCTATTTGAAAGTCAAAGGTGTACTGTGTACCTTTTCTGGTGGAGGGTTTGCTACCTGTTAATTATGTGAGAATTTTTGTGTGCTTGGAATGTTCCACAGTATGGCATTGAACACATTTAGTATTTATGTAACCATGGCTACTTTTGGCTAAGACTGTATGACATTGCAGGTAAAGCTATAATATCTCCGTACTGATAAACGGGTGACAGACCCTTCACCAGAAAAGTTACATAGTGCATCTTTAAAGCTGACTCAAATTGTGAATTTTTCTACTACTCAAATGTTATAGCAAGTTCACTGAAAGTTCTTATGTGAAGTTATGCCCAATCTAACATTATGTCTCAATCAATCAGTATAATTCTTCAAAACTACTAAAAGCTTTAAAACAATTCACTGATTTTTATTGCAGTTTAACAGTTTTTATGGTGCTTCAAAAGCTATTATACTTCTCCTAATCCAGACATCTTTCACAGGCCACCATGTCCAAATTGAATAAAGGAACAAACAATATTTCTTTTCATGTGGGGAAAAAATGGAAGAATTTTATCTGGGTTTCTCATTTCTGAAGCGACACTGATCCAGCCGAGATTGTGATGGCTTCAGTCGCACACAGCGTTCTGCTTGAGTAAACTCAGCCCCGATTACAATCTGTGGCTTTACGCTTTCTGTATAAATCTCTCTTAGCACATCACAACACTCATCTTTTTCCCATTCTGAATGTTTAAATGAGCCAAGTCAATTTACTCACGCCGTTTAGGGAAGAAAACTAGTTTGCATAAGACATTTTGAATCGGGGATGAGTCCTCTATTGGAGTTTATTTGAGAGGGTGCTTTCAATATTACACATAATGAATTGCTATACAAGGACAAAGCCACTTCTGTCCAAAATATTAGCAAAGATATTTGGAAATTACCTGCATAATTGAATACACAATTTTGTCAGGAGTAGAAATATTGTGAGGAGTTTTTTATTTAAATCCATTTTAGTTTGTTATGTCCTGGTATAGACTTGGTTAAATCCCAGTTTTGCTCAAGTTATTATGGCTTAGACCTGGTTTGGTCCTGATTTTGTCCATGTTTCTGGATTTATGGTTTATTGTCTAGTAAGTATTAACTCAAACTAATGGTCAAAAGTTTTAGAACACCACACTTTTTCCAGTTTTTTACTGTTTACTGTTGACCAAAACGTATTCTAAAGTTTTGATTCATGAAAGTGTCCACCTTTGGCAGATATAACAGCTGAACAGCTTTTACAATAGAAATCAAATACTCTTCAGAAAGTTCTTCCCAAGTCTGTTGCAGAAATTCCCATAAATGTGTGGCACTTGTAGGTTTCTTGGATTTCACTCTTCTGTCCCGTTCATCCCAAACCAGCTCGATGGGGTTTAAGTCTGGAGACTGTGCTGGATACTCCATGTTTTCAAGTTTACCATCTTGTTCTTTATTTCCTGAGGTAGTTTTGGCAGAGCTTCGACTTGTGTTTTGAGTCTTTCATCTTTTTTTTAACCTCTGTCTGTTCAGTACTTACCTTTGTACCATTTCAAGCTCTTCACTGGACTTGAATTGCAATAAATAACTGGAAAAATTAGGGTGCTCTAAAACTTTTAACAAGTAGTGTATATTGTTTAAAATGAATGTTAATAGAGTCAAATCATATAGCTTCTGTATACAAAATATCAGAATATCGTGACCTGCAGCTGATTTTCCTTGTAGACTGTAACAGGACACAGATTGGCAACAAACTACTAACATCCAGACCAGTTTAAAACTCACTGTGGAAGCTCTGCTGATGCTGAAAACACTAATGATGACAGAAAAAGGAAGTGAGGATGTGAAAGCAAAAGTTTCCTTTAAAGAATGTACCACAAGTTAGAACAAATATCATTGAAAGTCATCTTTAAGTATTTTGTCTAGAGTCAGTTATATTGTGTAGTTTTAGTATATCATTAGTTTTTCTTTTATCCCACGTTGCCTTGACCTACATGTAATTAATTCTGGTTTAGTCATCTTGTACTTGGGAAGAAAAAATATATTTTACACTTAGGACTATATATGTCAGAACTTAATACATTTACTGAATACAGGAAACACTGTGGGCCAATTTAGTTTTATTCATGGAGATTTTCTGTTTATGACGAGCTCCCAAACAGTGCAGAGGTGAAATTACAATATAGCATTAGTATTGTAATGAGCTGCCAGTCAACTGCCCCCGGAGGCCATTGTTGAGTATGAGCAGAGTCTGAATTTGGACAGGGCTTCAGCTGTAATTAGGCCGACAGAGAGGGGCCTGTGGAGTGGAGCGTTCTCACATACACACCTCTAGGACAAATGATTTTAACAATATGAAGAAGAGGGTCTAAAACAGCAAATGAGATGAGAAACTAAAGTCCAGAAAATACTTTAATGACCAAGACCGTGTAAAACTTCCTGACTATTGTTTTTATTGCCTATTACCAGCATGAGCCTCATTTATCAAGCTTTTGCTGATGGGCTAAACTGCTAAACACGCCAAAAGTGGAGCAAAAACACGATGCAATTTCTCAGACAGATGCTAAAGAAGACACAGCGCAATTTTGCTCCTGTGAGTGAATGAATCTGCAAAATGGGCCCTTTTTTTTTTCAAGCAAGCGCAAAATCTGAGGTGGAGGAAATGCAAATGAAGTTATTTAGCAGGTGCTCCCAGATTTATTACAACTATAAGAGCAAAAACTGCGCGATGATACGTGATAACTGAGTCCCTATGTGTTTAAATCTTTTCTGCAGCAGCTTCGGAGGATTATCTATCTCCTCAGAGACAAGCAAGTGACACCACAAGGTCAAGCTGCAGGTCATGTTTGTGGAGAGGCATGTCGCTCACCATGAGAAAGCATGTTTTCAAGGTATGTTTTTAGTAATGAACGCTATATTGTAAAAGCAATAAAATCTCCATGGAAACAAGAAGGTGGCAGACACTCCGTTCGACAAGTCCATTTAAATACACTCAAATTCATACATCTATTACAGCACGCGTTCAATCAAACACTCATCTATTACGTGTAAATGAGCAGAGGCTATGAGAAAGTTTCTAGCTCCAGATGGCTCCTAATCTCAGGCTGCAGAAAGTGCGACCCAGTGAATCATGGGAAGTGAAAAGCAGAGGCCCCCTTCTCAAACTCGCCCCATTACATCCCTTATTACAGCCCTGTCAGTCACTGTCACGGAGCAGCTCCTGTCACTCAGAGGGTAACAGCAAAATGACACCCTACACCGGACAAATGACATGTCTCACAATGAGAGCAGAAGTGATGTAATCAGGACATATTACAGCTGAATGATATTGGAAAATGTGATATGGAGTAACATTTAATTATATATGCAAATGTGTATCTGGGCAACATTTAAATGCCCATATCACACTATTTTCTGATCTGTGTTATAATGTTGTAGCCTGATTCATCAGCCAGTTTCACTTCATGGAAACAGTCTGACCTCGCAGCTTTAGAATTAATTTGCGCGACGGTAGGTGGGTACTTTTTTATTTAACCAATCGCTGCTATTTGGTCATGACGTATGTAATGCGATGCAAAGGAGGCTAACTGGTATATTAAGCTTTTCCCAAATCCCGTAGGAAGAAGGGCAATAACGTCTTTCCCCTTGATAAAATTCACCAAACATTCTCTTTGTTCCGGCTTTAAATCCTCAATCTCGGGAATTGTTACCAACACAGAATGTATGGCTCTTCGCTGATTGGCGGGTGCCCGAACTCGCACTTCCGGGGTTCTGGCAAAGCATCTATTGTATTCCAATTCCTGACCTAATCACTAGAGAGAAATGAAATTGAGCGGAGGCAATAGGTGGCACCAGCCTGGCTAATAATGTTGTTTCCTCGTCACAAACGGACCCGGAGTTATGTTTTGGTTCTTTCACACATGTTTCAACACACAAAATCTGCATATTTAGGCTTAGTTCTTCTCTCAGATAGAAAACACTCTGTTCCACATTGTCATGTCATGTGATTAATACAGGAAGTGCTCCACTATGTTTTTAAACTCCACACACCTTCACTAGAATCATTTGGATGATTTCAGCAATGGACTTTCTAAAGGTAAAATGAGCTGTTAATTTGACATGACATCACAAGGTGGAACAAAACATTATGAGCTTTGGAGAACTAGACAGACTAATAATAAACTCAAACACGTGTGAATGAAACCAAACAACTCTACATCTGTTTTTGATGAGGTAACATGACTTAAAGCTCACAGGAGTCAATTTGTGATATTGGACCTTTAACTAAAAGGGCCTGTACTTGATTTTGAACCATGACTGAAAAACGTCCGGATTAACGGTCTCACTCTCTCTGACGATGAACCATGACACACTAATGCACCAGTGCACACATACACACTGGTGGCGAGGCGGGGTAAGTTTCTTGCCCAGTGCCCAAGAACACAACAACTGTATTCATGTGTGGAAGATGGGATTGAACTTCTAACCTGTGGGCTGTGAATCTACCACTGACTCTGCCATTGGATTCAAACCACCAACCTTCAAAACACATCGAAAATATGACAACCACAACAGCTCCTTCTTTATAGTACTTCTCCAATAAAATGCCTTTTAAAATATGTCAGCTTCATCGTCTTTCTTCCCCACAATTAGCTTTCTTAGGTTATTAGCAGTGGTGCGAAGCAGTCAGAAGATTCAATTACAATTCTCAGGTTTCCAAATCAATGTTCAACACTCTTTGTTATTAGAGATTTAGTTTGCGGATAATGTGAAAGTAATACATTAAAGTAACACATTTTAATCTATACTTTATGCAGCCCCATACCTCGGCCATATTGATGACTCCCACGGCAAGAGTCTTGTAGCCCAGGATGGTTCGGTTCTTGTAGCGTTTCCGCCTCTGCAGCATGATCTGGAGTCTGTTGGAGTCTCTCTTCAGAAAGTGAGGGTACTGTAAATAAAAACATATGGGGTATAAATAATAATGGACAACTCTGGATAAGATTTAAACTGAGAGAGACAAGCAAAAAGGCTGCAAACTGTAATGGATAACAAGGTTTACATTTCTGTACGGTTTCCAACTAGAGTAAAGGTAAAATGCACACAGCAGAGAACGAGCTTTTGGCTACATCTTAGGCCTAATAAAACCACATAATGCACTGTTAATTTCGCTGCTCCAGGGAACTTATATGAATGATTGAGAGAAACAAAACTTTGTTGGAAATGGTAATGTTGTGAACACGAATATGAGAGAAAAGTCCTGAATTGACAGAACAACTCGAGACAAAGAGCAGAAAGCATTTTATTGTCCAGTTGCGCTGTGGGGGCAAACATTTTAATGTACGCACTAGATTCAAGATTTAAAGTGCGTTTCAAACTGCGTGTTGCCATGTGCACAGTAAGGAAACGCCTTGCCCTGTACAATGAAATTATCATTTTACTGTCCACACCAGATTAATATACAACACTGCCAGGACTGAACCAGGACTTAACCAGAAATGAACGAGGATTGAGTATTGGGACAGGCCTGGAGGTGCGCCCGCGTAGATTGTCAGGTGACCGCGGGAGAAAGGACCAAGGATCAAGAAAGGATCAAGTCCTGGTTTAGTCCTGGTTTAGTCCTGGTTTAAGACCTGGTTTAGATCTGGTTTACATCTGGTTTAGTCCTGGTTTACCTGGTTTCCTCACCTGGTTTAGTTCAGTCCTGGTTTCCTGGTTCAGTCCTGGTTTCAGTCCTGGTTTCCTGGTTTTCCTGGTTTAGTCCTGGTTCAGTCCTGGTTTAAGTTCCTGGTTTACCTGGACCTGGTTTCAGTCCTGGTTCAGTCCTGGTTCAGTCCTGGTTCAGTCCTGGTCCTGGGTTTAGGTCCACCTGGTTTAGTCCTGGTTAGTCCTGGTTCGTAGAGTCCTGTTTTAGTCCTGTTTAAGACCTGGTTCAGACTAGGATTCATATTTATTTCATACAATCTTCTGGTTTTATTGACATATTTAAAATTGATTTTTCAAAAGTAAATATTTGTATTGGCCATATTACCCCCGCAAACTCCGCCTACGGACAAAACTCCACTTTGCTCTCGGAGAGTTGTGAAAAGTGCTCATAAACTCACTGCAGTAAATAATTAGAATGTTCGTAATGCATAAGGTACATGACCACTGCAAACCTTTTAAAATTAACTAGCTCTGTTTTTAAGCTTTTAAGACCGTAAAAGGCACAGCTCCTTCAACAATGAATATTAAAATGTATCATGTACAGTCAGAGTGATGCAATATAATGAAAACATTTGTCAATTATTTTGTAAAGCATCTAATTTTGACCTTTGAGGTGATCGAACACTGCTACACACTGACATTCCTCATTTGTGTAAAAATTAGTTCAGTTAGATCATTTTCATTGTCAGCATTGATTTTCCTGTAGAGACAAACTATTTAGCTTGTCTTTTACTGAATATTATTAAACAATGACTATGACCTGAACTGAGGTCTCTGTAAAACTATTTCTGGGAGTTATGTGACCAACTGCCTTCAATAAATGACAGACATGATTTTTCTATATAAAGTTAAAGGATTTTACACCTGCGCAGTCTGGACTATTTTAAACTTGGTCTATTTATGATCAAACACGTCTCTTTTAAAATCCTTCTCACATCCTTTATGCTGCCCTGTTTACACAATACTGATGAAATGTCTGTTTAAACAGCGCAGGGTTGAGAAACATCACAACATCCGCTTTTTCATAACAGTTTCTCTGCGAGTCTGACAGTGAGTAAGTTTGACTAGGGCTTTATAGTGTGGACAGAAAACAGTGAATATGCAAATGGAAATTAGCCTCGAGGGGGTGAGCTGTCAAGTCAGGGTAATGTCTTTGAGATTAGGAAAAGCAATGCAAATTCTATTACGACAAAAAAGTCAAATTAAAAATGTAAATTGGAATAATGGAATAACTTTTATAATTAAACGTAGCCGTCTCCCAAGGCATTTAGTGACATCTTGGTAAAGACTGAAGTGCCTAAAGCAGAAGAGCTGTAGTAGTTTAGGGGTAAATGCTTCAACTCCAACTTAAAATTCAGATTTTTCTCAATTTTCTCAAGTTTAGAATATATTATTATCACCTATATTTTTTTCACTTTGTTATTATAATATATCGTGACCTGTGAGCTACTGTGTCCAAGTCATTTCCCTTGTGGATCAATAAAGTTAGTTTAAGTCTAATGTTCAATAAAACCAAATATTGTTTCTTTGCCTCAACAATTTGACCATAAGCAAGGCTATTTAAAGGTTCACTATGTAACTTTTCTAACGGGGGGTCACTGACTTGCTTGTTTCCATGGAGATGTTACTGCTTTGACTGGACCGATATAAACTGCAGTTTAATTACACATGTTTATATTGCTAAAAAAAGTAAAAATAAAAACAAAAACTTCTCCAAAGATCTGACCAATAACTTGGCTTGGTGGCATCACCCGTTATAGTTTAATGCTATATTGTGGAACATTCTTGGGAAAACCATAACACAACCAGGACCCACCATTAGAAAAGTTACCTAATGAAAACCTGGACCTTTAAAGCTAAAAGACTTAACTCTGAACTAGGGATGGGTATGATTAGTTGACTAATCGATAACTGATCGTTAAGAATTTCATCAATCACGTTCATTTTTAATCAACACACCTTATGTAGGTTGCTGGATGCTGTACGTAGCATAAGAAGATGAGGCTGCGTCTGACAGAGCAAATGCTGGAGTTGCAGCCTCACAATCCCACGTTTCGGCTCTGACACCTCCTTGGAGATCACTGTACCACTCAGTGAGTTCATTTACATGCACATCAGTGTCTCGGTTTCGTTATGCTGCATGTATATGCAGTATCCCCGGTTAGTGCACCGTGAACGTGCACATTTTTCAGTCTTTTCATCACAACAGAAGCCAAAATAAATAAAGTCACCAAACAAAGTGAGTGAAATGACTGTTAAATAAAGAGATGCACAAAGAGTTAAGAGCAGAGCTAATAGTTTATGCGGTTTTAAGTTTCGTTTCTGTAAGACGTAAACAAATGTGCGCAAAGCTGTAATAAACACATTATAATCTCAAACAGGCTGGTGTGCCTCTATAGTGGTTATGGTTTATATGTTGTAAAGTTGAGTTTATTTATGCAGATTAGTAATAGTAATAATAATGATGATAATTTTAATATAAAAACATTAATGATTAATCAAAAATCTATCATTAATTCTCTTGGCGATTGATTAAGAACATGTAATCGAATGCCCATCCCTACTCCAGACTGTAAATGAATACAGCGTGTTATGAAAGACAGATTCATGAGCTGAGCCTAACACTTTTGCTGCGAGGAGCAGACAGCGGAGAGTGGTGGTTTTGGTGAGAGTACATGCGTTTCTATGGAGGAGCAGAGCAGAGGCTGGTGCATAAGTGTGACTCTTCACAGTGTAATGCGAGTGGTCGTGCCTGTAGTGAGAACGTCAGCTCCAGATCTGTCTCCATCAGGCCGCTGGGAGGGAGGATGTACTCGTTTGAACGCAGCAGACGCTTCGAGCCCTGGAAACACACAAGAAACACAAACTGGAGTCAGACACAAACATGAATGCAAGACACAATATACAAACGATTGTGATATTTGCATTTTTTTCTGAATATCTCCCACCTCTAAATGATATCCCAAACTTACAGTATAACATTTTTCACAGTACTAACAATACAAGAGCATGGTTCAAGGTTTTTGGGTCAATAAAGGCCACCAATATTACGGTATTTCTCAAGTAAGTATTCAGAAATTATTTACACTTACTTACAATGGCTACCAAATGATCACTGTACAAGCTATTACACAAAAACAAGTTATATATTTCACTGTTAGCTCTTAAACACTAATCACTCAATCAGGTCTATTTCCGAAACTGGCACAGAGTCCATTTGATCGAGAAGCCAAAGGATTTACGTATCTGTGGCCCTGACTCAGTCCTCAAAAGACCTGCCCTTCGCTTTTAGCAGGTTTGCCTTGGATTAAGTCGATCATGTTTCTCATCAAGTTACCATTTTAGCTGGGCAAATTCTTTCTATATTAAATCAGCGAGTGCAAGTACAGCTGGTCAGGACTGATTTAAGTTATTCGCGTGTGTTTAGTAATTACTGCAGTTAAGACTGGAGGTCGTCAAAGATTCCTTCAGGTATGGAGTTAAGTTGCTAGTTGAATTAGTGTCGGTATTAGCCACATGGGGCAGTAAAGCTATCCCTCCTCTGACATAATACTGCGGTGAGAAATGCCTTGATGGTTCGGTGGGCACGATATTGGAGCTGCTAAATCTTGTAACAGACCTTGAGCAGAAAACATGGCACTGTGCTGTTGCTGAGCTATCAAAATAACAGACATAAAGACATGGACCTGAGTCAAAAATAAAGAGGAGAAAAAAGCATCCATATCAACAACAGACTGTGAATTAAATGAATGTCTTGGCGTGCGATTTTAAGGACAGATAACAGGGCAAAGTAAATTACAAAATAAGCTCCGAGCATCCAAGCTGTCAAAGCACCAGCAGAGATAAGGAAAAGAAAGCACCGAAAAACATAATCCCTGTAGAAAAACTGACAGAAACTAAAAGTACTCATAATCATCTTTGTTTGATTTGTTTATGTTTTTGAGGATGGTACACAGATCAAACTTGTTCCTGTTCTCTCTGGTCACTATATATTATGGTATGTATAGTGCCCAAACCAGGACTTAAACATGTGTATTTCCATGGAGTCAGTACAGGGCAGATTCAATATAAAACCAAAAATAAGAAAAGAAAAAACAACTGTTTTCTTCATTATTTGTCTCCAAAACCAAAATGAAAAAACGGATAACATTTCGCTTTTTCAATTTTCGATTTTGTGTTTAAATGAATAATGGAAAAAACGGATAATGGATGTTTCCCGTTTCTGTGACTTCAACTGCAATGCCGGACTGAACCAGGACTGAACCAGGTCTAAACCGTTTTCAGTCCTGGTCTGGCCCTGGTCTGTTCCCGGTCTCAGTTCCGGTCTGGTCCAGGTCTGGTCCCAGTCTGGCCCCGGTCTCGGCCCTGGTCTCAGCCCCGGTCTCAACCCTGGTCTCAGTCCCGGTCTCAATCATGGTGTGGTCCTGGTCTGGTCCTGGCCTCAGTCCTGGTCTCAGTCCCAGGCTCAGTCCTGGTTCTGTTACCGGTCTCAGTTCTGTCTCAGTTCTAGTCTGGTCCCGGTCGCTGTCCGGTCTCAGTCTTTGTCCTGGTTATGGACTCAGTCCTGGTCTGGTCCCAGTCTAAGTCCTGGTCTCACTCGCGATTTGGTTCCGGTCTGGTCCCGGACCTGGTTCAGTTCTTGGTTCAGTCCGTACGTGGCACAAAAGTCTGGCATCGCAGTATCGATATATCGCTAAGAGTATTTTTTGGTATATTTTACTAAATAAGTTACAGCGCTACAATTTTGTTGCTTTTTTTAGAGGAAGGAAACTCATTTATGCAACACACTTGACATTTTCACTGTTTTGTTTTGATAAAAAAAGTGTGTGTTTCATATGAACTTTGCACAAGAAGTGGTTTAACAAATACTTTTAGTATCACAGCCATCATTTAACCATTATTTTTTATTAAAATATATCGTATCACACCGAAGTGCACTGTATCGAGAGATTTACCATATCATGGCCTATGTATTGTATCGTATCGGCAACTTCTTAATGATACCAACAACAGATCTATCCATGGTTTTCAGAATGATGTGAAATTAGGGCTGCCAAAGCAATTAACAATTTACTCTTGAATGGGAAAAAAGACATCAACAGGAAGTTCAAACCCATGAATCGAAAAGGGAAAAGTGTCACAAAAGTAAAAGTGATTTCTATTGGCAGATCTAAAAGATATCATATCATACGTAAGATAAACGTATAGTTATTGCTTTAGCTTAGGTAACGTTGTATGGCAGATTTGGTACAACTGCAGAAATCAAAAGTATACTGTCTAAACCAGACTTGGAGAGACTTCCTGTAGCTAAGAGAATAGACTTTAAAGTAGCTTTGCTTGTGTACAAGTCTCTCCATGACCTAGCACCAAAGTACATCTCTGACATGTTAGTGCCATATGAACCATCTCGCACTCTGAGGACCTCAGGGACCGGCCTACTGCTGGTGCCCAGAGTCAGGACTAAACAGGAGAGACAGTGTTTCATTTTCATGCAGCTAAAACCTGCAACAGTCTTCCTGGAGACGTGAGTCAGGCTTGTACTGTGATAATCTTTAAATCCAGGCTCTGTTTTGCTGTGCAGATGATATGAAAGGGTTTTATTCTGTATTCTTCTCTTTTAATGTTAATTTCATGATGATTATTTATGCTTTGATTTATTTGTAATGTGCTTTATTCTGTAAAGCACTTTGAATTACTTTATGTATGGATTGTGCTATATAAATAAACTTGCCTTGCCTTGCTATCACTATGTTAACATTTAAAGGAACGGTATAGGGGACAGTCATGAGCATGTTCACATCTGATTCCGGGAAGATGTTTAGTATGGGCCCTGAAATAGCAGATAGCCGCACATACCTGGCATATCAGCACCCCGCAGACACATCTCGGTCTGCAGATAAAAATAAAGCTCTTTGACACATAAGCTGGTGTCAAAGCATCGCTGCTTTACTGTCTCCGAACCAAAGGTGTGACAGAAGACGCCAAAGGCAATTAGCAGCACAGCCAGAGTGAAAAAACACCATATAAATCCTGATTATGAGAACAAATGAGTTTTATTTTTAGAAGAAAAGGGGCGAGAGTTGAACTTGGATCACTTTGTTTTGCACTTTATTCCAACATGACCTGAAAGATAAGACTGCCCCGCACAGTCCATCAAACGTGTGTTGTTTTATAAAGGGCAGTAGGCCAATTTTTGTATCTCTTGGTTTCTTGATACATTGCAGCTGATGTCCTCAACATACCCTGGGAGTGTGATGCTGATCGTAGGCACTGCTCTGTCTGAGGCTTTATCAGACTTTAATCTGAACTTAATTTTAAAAACAATTTGAGCACAACAGTGAGCTGTAAAACAAGTCTCTCTCACATAATAATACAGTCAGCATTAGCCAACAGTTTTTCAGCTATTCATGCTCACCTTTTTGTTGAAAATCTCCTGACAACTAAACAGGACCATAAATGCTCGTACTGATCACAGGCTCCTGAAAATGTGCTTTTAAATCCATTTTGTGTTTTTTCTCTTGAGTTTTCAGACAATTTTAAAACTTTTTCGACAGTCTAATGTGTGCATTTTCCATGGTAATTCCTAAACATTTTACCATTAAGAGATACATGTAGAACACCCCCAGCATGATGCCACTACAAAGTATCAAGACAAGTTTTTCTCCTGACTGATAAACTTTTGCTTTTTACTATCTAATTATATATTTGAATATTTGTACACTTTTTCAGATTTTTCTATGTTTATACAAGTTTGCATCTATTATTTTTTACAACGCCTTTTTTAATAATCTGCTGCACCAAAGAAGACTGCGCTTTTAAAGACAATTTATCTGCTTTGTTTTACTCTTCCTCAGTTGTCATCAGTAGGAGAAGCAGTAGTGGTAGTAGTAGTGTGGTGTAATTGCCAAAAAATACTTGGTTTGATGGAGTCATCTGCTTGTCTCCATGGAGATTGTGAAATTTTATGCCACTTTGTGAAACTTTGCAGGCAAACATCAGTGTCTTTTTAATCCCTTGTTTTGACTAGGGATGTAAAAATAACCGAAATATCGTGATATCGTATTGTCAAAGTTCTCACAGTAATATCGTGGACCATCATAATATATCAAATTACAAGTCTCTTTGCCTATTAAGTTATGCTGCAGCAACAGCTAAAAAAAGACAGACTGAACTACATAGACCATGATCCTTTGCTCCATTTCATTGCAGACTACATGAAGAAATAACAGACAGTTCTAAGCACTTTTAAGTCTTAGTTCTTTGGATTAAGTCTTGTCAAGATATTTAAAGAGGAAAAAGTAGCATATTAACAGTTTTAGCTGTTTAACCTACACAAAATATCGCAATAAATATTGTACCGTGACATGTATATCATGACAATATCGTACCGAGAAATTTTGATATTGTTACATCCCTAATTGTGAGCCTCCTCACCATACAGTGAGCTTTCCTACGATATCACAATAAATATCGTACCGTGAGGTTCATTCCATGACAATGTAGTATCGTGAGACTTGGATATCATTACACCCCTAGTTTTGACCCATTATTTATTAGACTTGAGTTAAATAAAAATAGAAATTCAATAAATTATTGGAGAAAGGATTAAATCTCACTGCACTCAGATCCCTGGGTCATGCACTGTATCACAAGCGGTGCCTATTTTTGCACTGAACCATTATTATATCTACTAAGCACTCTGTCCATGCCATTGCTCTGAGGTTGTCTAAATAGGCTGTGATGAAATAAAATGTAACTATATGCAATAAATGAACACTCTATCCACTATCCAGTTCTATAGCAGATTCTACTCATGTGAAGGCTGCGCTGGAAGGGTCTTGA